TTCAGTCGTATTTAAAAATGCAGGCTATTCACCCTCTACAATTCGCACAGCATCAAAGCGCACCACTGATGCCGACAAGGTGTCTCCGGAAGCGATGTGCTGATGTTGTTGCGATTCACTTCTATCTAATTCTCGGCTATTTGCATGCGCCTAATTTTAATGGAGAATGTGTGGTGTTTGGGGTTGTTTCACTACGCGTGTGAGTGCCAGTCACCTCGCTCTTGTTTGCGTGGACTGCCTTTGGAGGCGAGTGGAAGTCCAGTCGCCTGCACTCCTACCTTACAAATGTGTGCAGTTAGCCTCCTCCTGCCTATTGGGAAGTTGCGCGACGCCACAGTATGGGTTGACTTGACTGGCGTACTGGGATGCGCCGCCCAGCCCTCAAGGATGCAGCGACGGTGAAGGTATGGGTAGTCGTTGCCGTGACCGCTAAAGTGACCATGTGATCCACGTCAAGGAGACTAAAGAGGACCACAAAAAGCACCTGCCGTGTCGTGAGACATTGGACAGGTTAGAAGAAGGCAGTAAGTGGGATTGAATGGATGCATTAGGGGAGAACGAAGGCATTAGATCCGAGTGTACTTCGAGGACCATATCACGAGTGCCGTAGCCAGACCAACCTTAAAGTAACCGCCCACTGTAACATATTCTAGCTTTTTTAAGTGGACTTTTATAGCTGAGAGGCGGAGACCATTTGGGAAAGTGGATCACGTGTGTGAAGTCGGCGAGAAGCCTCCCTCCGTTTGATATCTCTTACCTCATCTGTATCCTATTTCCCATCCTTTCTAACAGCGATGCCTAATAAATCGTCTGCAACCAACTTCCTCTTAAAGTCTGAGAACCTGGGATCAGAGGGTAGACAAGCAGTAACTATATCCACCGTAAGATGACCACACGATTGAGGAATTACAGCAGCACTACTTAACTTGTTGATTCAGTTAGAGGTCGCTTAACAATTACCTCTTTTGTGATGTTGGATATTTCACGTAGATTTTAGATTGTTCAATTGCCTCTACGCTTGAGGAAACCTTCCAATCACTCCTACAACACTGACTCATGCTTTGACTGGAGTAAAATGGATGGCATTTATGTTGTCGTGATGTTGTTCAAACGTCTCGAAACATCCAGTAGGACCTTGCCACCAATTTCGATGCCATCGGACACTGACATGCGCTGATTGTTTTGCACCCTACTTTGTGCATGAAGTGGGTAGGTGGAACTCGCCACGACATTGTCTGCATTGTTAACTGTGAATGTGGAATCTTTTTGTCATGAAGGAATGCACTGTTTTGTTCACTGACCAATCGGTATAGTTTGTGAAGTTTAAACTCGGACTCTGAATACAAGTCCTCAACTTATATGTGGCATTATTTTTTTGTCTAGATAAAATGAACTTTTCAACTGCCCTCAAGATAGCTGATGTTGACGACTACATTTTACCGGCGGTCGTAAGTTTCGATTAGTTGTAACTGCTGCAAGAATTTCAACGAACTACGAAATATTTTGGTGTTTAGGGATCTTTTCCTTTGCCTTGTAACATTGCGTATATGCTTTTTATGTTTTGTTTGACCATCTGGCTATGTATTTTTTCACGTTTTGCTCATTAAGTTGCTTTGAATGATGAGTATATTTTTCCGAGCTTTCTTTCGTTGTTAAGATTTATATTCTCTCGTAGCCACCTAATTCGCTTATTTTTACTGATATTATCATCCCGAATTTCAGGAGTGCATAAAACCAGTAAAGATACCTCGATACGTTGGCAAGACCGAATCTATCACTATCGAAGATGACGGTACGTACGTAGCTACAAATGACTCTGGTGAGAAATTCCCTCTTGCAAAGACCAAAATCGACCTGAATGACTGCCTCTCCTGCAGCGGATGCATAACCACCGCAGAGACTATCCTCGTCTCTCAGCACAGCGTGCAAACTTTTTTAAACTTACTTAAAGTATTGGAATACTTTGAATGCTTTTATTTTTGTTCATGGACAATTTGTCAAGTCTTTGTGTCCATATTTTTTATGTTATTCGCGTTAATTAGCACAGTATACCATGTCAAAAACGGTGTTTAAATGTTAGACTAGCTTACAGTTTTATTCAATTGTTTAAGTGCGGCTTGACCAACAATTAGACATCTTTCCTGCTCCTATCTGATTCGGATGCCAATTCGTTTTATTTAAGTGGAGTTCTATACGAATAAGTGCTTTTTTTAGAGAAGCCCTTGATTAATCAGGCACATCTTCCAGATTTTTTCAGTAGCATCTTTTGAACTTATTGGAAGAAAGGCTTCCCTGTCGATGTGGCTTTGCACTTAGTTCGTCACTTTTGCTTTGGTTGTGAGTATTACCAGCAACATACTCTAGATATTTGCTTTGGACCATTGGTAGTAACTGCTAGAGCATCGTCCTAACCACCTGTTTCAATGCGTAGGAACGGAAAAATTACGAAATTGTGGTGGCATTGTCACCGCAGTCACTGGCAAGCTTAACGACTTCCCTTCAACGAGGCGGCGAGTCATCATTGCCCCAGCGATTGACAGAAGCCTTTTCCAAGGTGAGCAAAGAGGGCGGAGCAACAATGCGGAATGTGAGAGCTTTCTGCTCGCGCCTTTTGCACTCACATGGTATCGTCTCGACGCCCATTCTCGACACCACATGGAGTCGAGATGTTACACTCTTCGCCACTGCTGAGGAATTTGTTAGGGCATTCGCAGACCAATCGGATGCGCCAAAACTCCCCATACTCACTGGAATCTGCCCCGGTACGATTTATTACAGAGACTGGTGCCTGAGTGTGCAATGCCGAATAGGTTTTCTGTTATTTACAAGAAACAATCCTTCTAAGAGGCATGAATTATTTTTACATTAGAAGTTAAACACTAAATGAAACCAAGTAAATGACTTTACGATGTACAGTTCTTAGCGCTCTTGACTTCCATCATTGAATGATGTCTTTCTTGACAAAATAAACTGGACCTTTAAATGAAACATTTTGAACAAATGAGCCTTGTGAGTGCATGACGTTACTTTTCGGGAAATATTCTTTACTCAGCAATCCACCCTTCATTGTTCGATTCTTGATTGACAGAGGTGTATTTTTCAGCAGTGTATGTTGCTTAACTGTGTCAAATTCCTGAAAACCCTTTTTTTAATAACAAAGGATGGGTTTGTTACGCGGAGAAGACTCACTTCAAGATGCCATCCAAACCTACAAGTGGTGACGTTAGTGGGGACGGCAACGGGGAGGAGTCCGTTCTCATCCAGCACCTCTCAAGAGTGCGTTCACCGCAGCAGCTTCTGGCTGGTGTGTTAAAACGGGTGGTTAGGGCTGACGGACGTCGTCTCTTTCTTGTTTTCGTTATGCCTTGCTACGACAGAAAATTGGAGGCCTCCCGCAGTCAGTTTCTCTTAGATTGCGACGACGGTGTAGCGGAGAAGGAAGCTGATCTAGTTCTTGGTACTAACGAATTTGTTTCCGTACTTGACGCCATCCTACAGAATCCAGATCCAACCTCTATTGACACAGTGTCTGAGGACAATCTGATACATCGGAGGTTAGTAAGAGATGTCAGTAAGCCGCTTCTGTCGTCTGTAGTCCTCCATCTTGTACGATTTGAGGCGATGGCTTTACCCACAATTATGGGTTGTTGGGATCTGTGTAATTTGTGCGATAAACACAACCATTATGTTAATTGTACATGCAGTGGACAGTCGAGGTATCCCCCACATTGGCATGTTGCCTCTAAATCTCTCATCCAATGACAATGATGTTCCCCTGACACATTCGCCCAATACTAATTTCTTACCTGTCGACACCTATTTAGGTTATCTGAACTGTTGAGACTAGAGCGGATGAAGGGAGCGGAGGAAGACGGAGATTTCATCACCTATCGTCATGCAGGTTCGGGGTCGGGCGGCTACGCTTTTGCCGTTCTCCGGCACGCTGCTGAACACCTCTTCCACATCCACTTACCTCTTGCTGTCAATGAGGACCCGCGGGTGCTCACTCGTTACCTTGGAAATAAGGATTTGCAGGTACACTATGGTGAACCATTTCCAAAGCCCTATTTATGGAGAGGACATTATCCTTATACTTAGTGTGGATTTACAAAGTAAAGGAGTAAGAGATGGGAAAGTGCGGAATTAGAGGATAACCTTGAACGTCTGCTTTAGCATTCCTCGGGAAAGTTGACTGTTGAACTGATTTAAATTTTTTTTACGCTTTTGAAGGAAATTCTACTCTTCAACAGCGCGGAGGAGTGTGAAACGGCTACTAGGAACACGTCGGCAGGGCGCACGCCCTACCGTCACACTGGATTGAGGCCTACAGCCCTCCTCTCACTTTTGATTGCTAATGGCTTCCGCAACATTCAGACAGTCGTGCAGCAGATTAAGCGTGCTTACGCAAAGGCGCTCTCGCATCACTCAACGGTTCGAGCTGAGGCGCCGTTCGACTTTGTCGAAATTATGGCCTGTCCCAATGGCGGTTAGTATTCCCAAAGTGTTAAAATAGATTTCAAAGCGAATAGCGTCAACCCTTTTTTAGGAAGTGTGATGCATTGAGAAATGTTTCAATCCTATTGCATTCGAATAAACAGAGATCGACTGGACGGCCCCCACAATCAAAAGTGTACACAGCCACCAAGTATAGAGCGATAAGACGGTATAATTACGAGTTCGTAAGTACCACACCTGATCTAAAACCGGGAACTAATCTACACAAGAGATTAAGGAACAGGGTGCCACAGAGACTAAGCGTTTACTCATCCGAGGGCTTAATCATAGGTTGCCTCAACGGAGGCGCACAGCTGAAGACGGATCTAGCCGACGTTTCTCGGATCTATTTCTCCTTGGAGGAAAAGGAGGTTCTCAAAAGTGAGGCAGCGCACCAACTGCTCGCGACCCTTGATCCCGTCAGCAAACAACACGCCTGTTACACCTCCTACCATGCTGTCCCCAAAGTGGAGATCACCAACCCCTCAGTGCTCAAATGGTGATAACGGAAGAGCTGCCCTCTACCGTCACTTTGTATTTTTTGTAAGAGAAAAGGTTTCTTAAGTTAATTAAAACGTTATTAGCAAAGGGTTTTCATAGTGTATTTGACGCGAGAGGCGACCTGAAGTCAGGACAAATGGTAGACAGAAGTAGGAGGTAATCTACAAGCGTATCCACCATGTCTGATCGCGAATGCGATTATAATCCGGCAGAGCTTCAACCGGTCCTAAAAAATGCAAGGGAATAAAGTACATTTCGTATCGTGTTAGAATGTGAAGTAAGTCATCTAACCGATCGAAGCGACAGCCGGACATCGGTCGTATAAGTACTTTGAGCAAACTTCGCGAAGCCTTTCGGCATTGATAGCCTGTGGAAGAGAAACAACATATCGCCGATGGGACGATTGGGGGAAGCAGAATAACCACAAATTGAATTAACGTACATCAATTCTTGCGAGCATTTCGTTTATGGGGACGCGGCGTCCGTAAACGAGCATCTGTCTACCAATGTCCTCACAGATGGGAGTGGTTCCGTCCAACTGAAGCATTAGATGGGTTTTAAGCTGATTTCTGGCGCGTGCAACCTCATGCTCCGTGATTTGTGAACACATGCGAACCATTTCCTTGGTGAATGCAGTAACTGCTTCATTCAGGCCTATCTTTTCGCCTGTAAAGTATACACCCCTGGCGGGGAAACAATGGGTAAAATGGGGGCAAAGAAAACCAGTACTAGAACCGCAAGTGAAGCTACTCACCATAACGAGGTATCATGATAGCAAGTAAAGAAGTGCTGATAACTGTGAACGTTGCCTTTTTCGAAGAACATGCTAGCCAAAGGACTGGCAACATTGGAGCCACCTCCGTGTGTTCGATCCCAAGCACCATTTACGCTACTGCCCACCATGAGGGCAAGAGTATCTGGATCAGTCCAACCAGGTCCCTCGAAAGCAATGGCAATGTGTGCCAACGGCATCGCATCGTCGCGATCACGGATCTCGGAACCAGTATATCTGCAGGGCTCAAGCTTAGGAGTTTCACTGTCGAAGTTGGCCGAAATGTCACCGAAGTATTTTTCGCCAAGTTCCTTTAGTTCTTCATGATCAATACCTCAAACAGGGCATAAGAGATGAAAGAGTGCCAAACCTCCAGCTGCCGTGAGCACCATTCTTGGGGCTTTGTAATTTGTTCTTATAAAGTTACGTAGATCACGAGGCTGCAAAGATTTAACGTTCTCAACTGGTCCCAAAATTGTGCGACCGAGAGGGGTGCCTTGGTAAGCAGTGGCGTGCAAGTAATCAAATACAACCTCCTGGTAGTTGCTTTCGACTTCCTCCATCTCCCTCAAAATGACACCGCGTTCGCGATCTACCTGATGCTGATCAAGTTTACTATTTTTAATGATATCGGAAATAAGTTCGCAGGCTTAAGAGATCAGTAAATCAGAAAGAGGTACCCCAAGGCAAGTCACTTGAAAAGCATTTCGCATAGTACACGGTCATTTCTCGTGAAGTATAAGCATTAAGATGAGCCCCTTTATTCTCAACTTCTGCTTCTAGAGATTGTTGAGTTCGTTTATCAGTGCCTTTGAACGCCATGTGCTCCAGGAAATGGGCAACGCCATTATTAGTTTCAGTTTCAAATCGACTTCCAACATCAATCCAGAGACCAACCTGAAAATATGCGGATGAATCAACGCTTACGGTGCATGTGGGCATATTCCAATTTTCAGAAGCGATGCGGAATCCATTTTTCAATGTGCTGACTTCGGTCTTTGGTATATGTGCTGATTCAATGGTTGGAACATAATTTGTGGCGGTCCCAATACTATATGGTCGAGCGAACTACATAAAAAATAAGTCCATAGATTTACAATAAACCTTGATCAGATTAGGCAAGAGCGATGACACACGGCGAGATGCCATCAATAATTAGCTCAAAGTCACCGCCGCTCTGTAACGTCGCAGTAAACGTCCAATAAATCTACGTGACCGGCCTTCTGTTTTATGGTAAATTTGCTTTTCACGATATGATTTAACTTTAAATATGTGGGTTTATTGATTGCCTAAACCCTTGGCTACAAGAACATCACCACTGTACCTTACCATTTGCCGTAACTACATTGATGTGGTTTTAATAAAAATCCGTAGTAATACGGCGCCCCGAGACTTTATCTCAACGCAAGTTGCGAATAACACAAGATAAGAGAGCATAATTTCGGCCAAAAGGAGAGAAAACACGACCACCTATATTATTGTATTCTTGTTCCTGTCTGACTACCCGTATAACAGTCGACTTTTGGTCGCTAATTTGCTTTATTGAGTAAACCGACCTTTGAGCCAAACAAAAGATTTTTCGCTTTTTTTGCTTATTTTGTAAATATTCGACTAAGCCTAGTGCCTTTTGATACCAAAAGGTAGGTCTCAGAACGTTCCTGTTGTATCTCGTTTATGTGATTTTCTGCAAAACTGGAAATTAATCTTGTTTTTGCTTCGCTCTTGGTTGCACAGAATGGCCTTTGAATTACTTTTGAGGCCAAACTAAATACAAGTATTTAATCCTGATAAGTGCTCTCCCCTACCCATTAACGAGTCCCTGGACGTTACAATGATAGGAGCGGGAAGTAAACCCAAATTTCTTTACGATTTCCGCTCTAGTGTTTACTGAAATATATGCTAGCTTGTTTAAGTTCGCCCTCATGGGGGAGAGATAGAAAAGCAATTCGAACTCGACTTCAGTTCCTGATGAGTGTGAAGACTCGTTCTCAGAGTAACATCGGCTTTCCGCCTCATCGACCTTTCTCCACATCCTTTCTATTTGTAAATGACGCCTACAATGCTTCCTCAGCTAACCCTCTTCTGAGGTTCGGAGTTCAGGGGTCTGGAGGTAGGCAGGAAGATCCTTCATTTCTGCGGTGAGAATGACAAGCTCATGTTTCTGCTGGGAGATTCTCCAACTTCTCCATAATAGATGCTGGCTCTACCGCATCCCCGTGTTCTACTTACAAGCTTTTAAAAATAGAAGTTACAATGCTGTATTTATTGAACTTACTGTTATCATATCCGTGTATAAACGTTGGTGACGACACTATTCTGTGTCCCCTTGTTCGAGCTCAATTGATGACTAAATAAAGTAATCATTCCTGATTCATGTTTTTGATGTCATACCTAGATCCAGATGAAGTCGAAGCTACTGGGGAGGTTAAGTGTGTTCCATCAGTCTCGTGATAGCTATAGGCTAACAGGGCTGATTCTTGAGTGTCCCCTTGCTGCTGGGTCGGGTGATTAGCTAAAAAGATTTCAGGGATCGTCGCTTAAAGACACTCTTTTGGTGACTACCTGCAGGACTGTGTTTGACACTCTTCAGGAAAAGCCAAATCCCAACTTCCATTTCCTTCTACTTAACACTAATGACGTTCCATCCGAATACGGCAATACAGTCACATAAGCTACCTCGACTTGAGCACTGGCCTTACAAACAACATACACTCACTAGCAGTAATATTGGTCGAAGGCAAATAAAATCATGCGCATAAGAGAAAAGTCTACCTGCCTGCCTACTCTCAGACCACTGAACCTTGGGCATCATGAAAGATGTTGGGTATGGAGGGTTAATTGGCATTAGGTACGAAAAAGGAAATGCTGTGGGACTGAGAAGACGCTAAGATGGTGTCGGTTTGTGATTTTTTTTCGCTCCTTACAGACGAGGTTCGTGTTCGAAATAACTAACCGCCTCCTTCCCATAAAGGCAACTTAAATACGGTAGTATAAATTACAGTAATAATTTGAGATGGTTGTCCGAATTTATGTGTAACTTCTTAAACACAGATCATGCTGTGAGGTGCATTGTGGAGGCGAGGAATTTTGAGACCGAAGAGGTAGTATTTGAAGTTTCAATATTATTTCAGCAGAACTTTAGATTTGCACGCGGCAGAGTGCCTAGACCAGTGCTTATCTCTACAAATGGCTCTTAACCACTTGGCTGTAGTAGCGGTCTACGATGAAGAGCTCAATGGCAATCGGTAAGGCGTACGTCATGGCGCATATCCGATCCAAAAGTAAAGAAGTTAAATTTTGTTATTTCCGACAACTAGTCAACGCATTACAGACATCAAAACTGGTAGATTAATTGCCACACCTATAGACAGTGGGAAGGTTTTTGCATAAGTTTTTATTCAAGACTAGTACCTTAAAACGCAGATCCGTTTCAGATTCTTCAATAGGTTTAAGGTGACTTTTACCATCATACCCAGCTATCTTTGTGATACTTTATTTATGTGGTTACTGTAGCGTCCCGAGGCTTCCCACAGGATGGAAGAAGGCAGTAAGTGAATCTGAATACATGCTTTAGAATTTGTCTGACCCTCAGGCTCATTTACTTTGCTCTCTTTGGAATGCATGTATCCAGCTACACTTACTCACTTCTTATGCTGACTAGGAAATCTCTGGACGCTACAAAAGTGACCGCCGAACGTCAGGTACGTAGCGTGCCGAGGCTTTCCATAGGGTGGAAGAGGGCATAAGTGGATTGAATGCATGTATTCCGAAGACAACAGGGAAAATGGGGCCTGAGAGGGGTTCAAAGGTCAGCCCACGTGTACAAGGGCCAAAGAAAAAACTAAAACGAAAGCCAAACGTCAGGTAGTCACACGAAATAGTATTTCAAGGTAGTCACAAGAACAAAACGTTACACTTACCTAATATCTGACTGTTGCTTTGGCATTTGTCTTGCCCATGTACGTGTGGGTTGGCCAATGAGCCAGAGTAGGGCTAAACCATACTTCTCCGTCTTTTTCGCAATGAAAGGTTTTCAAACGCCGCAGCCTCAGTACATTTTAATCATCCTTTAAGATTAACACAGATGAGAAATCGTTTATGCTCTTAGTTACGATCTAATTTAAAACAAAACCAACGCATTGCAGTTCAACGGATCAATCAAATATATAGCACTCATTATCAAAGTCTTTAATTCCTACCATGTTATAAATGTACCAGCAACGCATAACTGTGAAGCGAAAATTTGTTTGTCTGCGTCCTCCGCCACGTGATAGTTTGGCGCTCTTAGTATCCCTGATTTGGCTGTTTCGCGCACTTTTCTGTTCATGCCGTTACAGGTCGGCGGTTGTGCCAACATGTCTCCTTGTGGTAAACTATATACTCCTCCAGACTATCACAAGGCTCTGAGAGTCCAGCTGGCTGCAGAATATAGTGGTGTTTCTTTGGAAGTTGTTGAGTACTGCCCTGGGGTGTCATCTATGCCCGATGAGGCAAAATCCTGTCCTCCCGACGCTGCTCCTCTATTTCACAGCAAAGATGGTGTGACTCTATTTGATGCCAACGCCATCGCCTATTTTTTGGGCAATAAACAACTTCGAGGTATTTTTAGTCATTTAAACTTATTCTCGTAGGTGGCGAACAGGAATATTATGTTACTCAGTGGGTAAACTTTACTGATCATATTTTGATGCCATCGGTCGCTGCTTGGTTGTATCCCGTTATTGGGGCGACGAACTATAATGCGAATCAGGTTAGCAAGGGTCAGGAAAATGTGAAGAAGGCACTCATTTTCCTGAACGACTTTCTTGCCTCAAAGTACGCAATTTTGTAGATTCATTTAATTGTTGCGTTTTTAGGACGTATTTCGTCGGTGAAAATATCACTCAGGCTGATCTGACCCTCTTTTCGGTTCTGAGACTTCTCTTCGAGAAACTTCTTGATGAAGCTGGCCGCGCGTCCTACCCTCATGTAGTCCGTTGGTACACTACCATTGCCAACCAACCGGAGATTAAGGCAGTTGTTGGAGAAATGAAACTTTGCGAAAAACCCGTTGTGTTTGACCCGAAAAATGTGCCAAAGCATGAGAAGCAGAAGAAGGTTAAGAGTCAAGAGAAGCAGCATGAAAAGCCACAACCCAAAAAGGAGGAACCAAAAAGGTCAGAAAGTGATTTGGAGGAGGAGGAGGAGAATGAAAAACCTTCGTCTGGGTCTCGCAATAATCCCCTTGCCCAGCTTCCTACTGGGAAGTTTAAGTATGACGACTTTAAGAGGGTGTTCTCTAATGCAGATTGTACGACGGTAACGATTCCATTCTTTTGGGAAAATTTTGATCCCACTACTGATTCAATTTGGTACTGTGAATATAACTATCCTGAGGAGCTCAGGTTCACCTTCATGTCTGCCAACCTTCTCAGGGGCATGTTTCAGCGACTAGAAAAGTAAGCTTTTTTGACTCCCTTTTTCGAGATTTTGACAATCTTCTTACTACTTTTTTATCTACAGAATGCAAAGATACAGCTTTGCTATAATGCACGTTTATGGCGAAAATAACAACAGCACCATCGGCGGACTCTGGGTGTGGCGCGGAACCGGTTTAATTTTCGATCTCAGTCCAGAGTTGCAAACTGATTACGAGTCTTACACTTGGACCAAGCTTGATCCCACCTCACCTGAAACCAAAGCAAAGGTTGCCGACTTTTTTGCTCTCGGTGATGTGTGTGATGGGAAACCTGTCGCTGAGACCTGTGTTTTCAAGTGAACTTTATCATGATGTGTAGTAAAGCCTTTTGCTCTTACGGTTTCAGCCGGTTTTTTTCGCTTCTAATGCGTGCCAATTTTCAAGGTAAGCTCGGATCGCACCTAGTTAGTTGTGTGGGTGTGGAATGACCTTGCTTGTGCTATGCGAATTAGGCTGGTGTGTGGTATAGGTCATAAAACTGTATTAGTGCGGGTGTTCGTATCTGCTCTAGTCGGGGTTTAGGCATTGTACTGCGTTTTTTGTGATGCCAGTTCTATCTCAGCTCTACAGGCGTTTGTCGTTTCACGGGCTGGATGATCAAGTGATGTGAGAAGAGGGCTGAAAGAACATTGGGGAGTTGCTTTCTCATCGTCATTTGAGATTCGCAGACCGTGGACGGGAGAGAAGGCGCAACAAAGACATGGGACTGAGTGTACGTGGCATAGTGCATAAATGCCAGTTTTGGAGGCCTAGAGGCTGGGACAGCCTACCGCGGGGTCTTCTTATCCTTAAAATATCGGAAAACATTAGTACTTATTTAATAAAAGTAGCATCTGAGCCATAAAAGAGGTGTTAATTGGTCAATGAGTGTGACGCTGCACCCTTTCTGCGTGAGGTGGTCTTCAAATTATGTCGGTAGTCCTTCATACCACTATTTTGGTCTTATACCTAAGACTTTTCTGGGGTGCTAAGCATTCAACGCTGAGCATTGGAAGCAGTTTCGGGTGCACTAAAGACTGACTTGGTAGTGTCATTTATTTCACTGTCTAATGATTACTTAATCAATGTTGAAAAATTCTAATCTGACCGAACAATTATTTCATTAAGGTACTTTATCGGCATTGCCGAATTACGCCTCTCGATGTCACAAAATTCAGATTTGTGTTTAGGAAGAGGGCAACAACTGAAACACTCGCGAGTCTTCCCTCCTCTGTCTCTACTTAAATGCAGCCGTTTAGACAAATGAGTGGGTGTTTCTCTGGCTGAGAAGTTAGTGTTGATAAATGGCTTAGTCAGGACGAAGAGCATAGCGTAGAATTTGAGTTTGACTTCTCAACCGCCAATCTTGTTAAACATATGCCACATTAAAGGCTCAGAAAGTGCATTATAACTCCTTGGGCGTGGTGCTGCACTCTAAGAAGACGATAACAGGTGGCGATCAAGAAGTGGTGGTGATCGTGAGGTAATGAAATCACACACACGAGTGTACCAACTCTAACCTCAGGCCTAGCGAACTCACTTTTATGGAAGAAATACAAGGGACACCTAAAGGACACCCTGTCAGGAAGCAAATTGACTCTCCTTTTTAAAAAAAATTGGATCCTGGCATTTCAGGCATCAAGCCACACAAATGGCACTTGTCATAATGTCTACCGATTCCGATTTACAAAAGGCTATTCGATTCGAGGGCAGTGGACTGCCTGAAGAGGGTAGCAGCCAATGTGATGCTCGAAGAGATTTAATGTGTCATGATTGACGGTAAGAATGATTTGTTCTCTCCATTCTCATAAACCGAAGTACAGTGTAGAACTTAGTAAAGGAAAAGCATTGTCGCTTCATTCATCAAAGGCGAGTCGTATGTGAATTACTTGAGGAGAAGGAATGGGGAGTTGGGTGTTAGTGGTCTGAATAGCGGATAGAGACTTCAGCTGAATCCTCTCACTAGGAAGAGGAAATAAAAGTCACTCAACAGTGAATTCGTAATTCCACCGACAAATATTTGGTTATTGTCAGGCTTGTGCAGATGCGTTATGTGGCTACCCTCCCAGCTCACATTCTGCCCCAGGCGAGGGCTGTGGGCAGCTTTTTGATGATACTAGAAATAATAAAAAGAAACAGGCACTACCCCGTGGACACCTTCTCTTCGAAAGGTCAAACTTCAATGCATTGAAGGTGGATTGAGTGGGATACTCCAAAACTGCTTACACTTGGCAGAACGCATATAGTGAAGGGGAAAAGGTTTCGTGAAACATGCGAAACCGCCAGTGGCTTTCACCGCAGAGCATTCACTCAATTAGCATAAAGTGAAAAGCATTAGACAGCAATTGGACTTAATTTCATCTCTTATATTTAGGACTTCTTGATGTCAAAATGAGAATTTTATGAGACGTATGGGCTACCTGAGAGCCTCGTAAACCTCCATTCGAGCCTCTGTTTTGTGTGGAACTTGGGGTTGGCGCAACTCTTGAGGACTTTGTGGAAATATTGCCTCATCAATTCCCTTAGGAACAAACGGCTGTTGCAGAGGGATTAGGCTTTTATCCTGGATCGCACCTCCAAGGAGTCGTTATTTTCCTTGTGTAATTTTACAATTCTAAAGTTGATCTACTGTTTGGGATCTTCTCTGTTGTGCCTCCACTGGGCGAATTGGTCTGCAGATCATGTTAGTGCAAAACCTTTAATCAAAAAATGATTCCTAAAATTTACAACCAAATTCACTGCGGCACAATATTTGTGTCTCCGACACCTTCCATTAGCACCGACTGTATCGCATGGAGGTCTCGAGGTTAGCCCCGCCAACCGACACGTTGAAAAGTCTGGTTCCACTCTCAACACCACTGCGGCTTTAACCACACAGGAGTTGGCAATCGAAACAAGTCAATTGTTTTTAAGAGTCTCTGAGAGGAGACGCTAAAACAGACCTCACCAATGTGTGCGGTGCCACACCTTACCTGCCATCACCTCCATCACCTCCACAAGGCAGTGTGTTTAGGGTAGTTTGATTGTGACAGTGATAGCCATTTCCACTAGGTAATAAAATGGCAATCAAGCGCTTTTCCACAAAGGTCTGGAAAAATTCTATTTTGGTTGGAGGGGTTACGGTCTCAGCGAGGCATAATTGCGCTTTTGTCAAACGCATTACCGTTAAGGGTATAAGAAAGTGCTCCATGAGAGGGGAGGAATGAGTGGGAAAATTTTGCTATTGTGGTTTGCACATTAATTTTACTTGTGGAAAAATTCTTTTACTTTGTGGCAAATGGTGTGAGAAATGGCTATTGTCTCCGCATTTTCACGATGATGCTTAAAGATAATTCATTTGCCGCCTTTTTAGAGTGTCTCTTAAAAATAAATTGTTTGTTTGGCTGTTTGTTGTGGACACTTAAATGGGCGAAAATCTGGTGAGTGGGCGCCTCAGACCAATGGTGTTTCCATACCCTCATGGCAGCCTGTCTGTGAGGCGTCTGCTGAGGGTGACAGCGCCTGCATTCTTCACCTACCGCCCCAAGTGCTGACCGCTTATTGGAAACACGAACCGAGAGTTCCTTGCTTGAATCGTTGATAAAATTAACACAAAGCAAAGTTCCATGATAGAGGATAGTTAATTGTTTCATAGACAAATTTTGTTGCCTTCAAACCCTTCCTCATATCACTTCATATCACACATGTATGACACAGGGAATAAACACTGTTTGAAAAAGGTTGTCACATAAATTCAGTGCGGTATTTTTAGTTCATTGCAAAGTGAAGATAAAAGGAAGCTTTAGCAACACAATTGACAGGGTACACTCTGAGAGAGCACTCAAAACCAGCCATTTCGTTACGCTCAAATTGACGCGTAAAATGCACAACAAGAAGCGCCAATTTCCCTCCCCCTTTCAAGCGTCCCACAGACCCAGAGGCATTGGCATCAAAGGCCAAAAAAATTAGTGAATTTTAAAAGCCAATGACAAGCATGCATCCACTGTCCTCCCGCTTTAGCCCTTTTCAACTCACCTAGACTCTGTCATCAGCCGGGATGACTGCACTTGGAGCGCAGAAGCGGTTTCAACGACAGTCCACTCACAAAGTCACAGCACCTTAGTCACTGCAAGTCGTGGATTACTTCACTTCAGGATGACGTATGTGCGTGTGTGTGGGAGGCCTTATAGCAGGATAATCAGGATCGCCTTCCATTGCGCGCTTGAAAGTTCTCACGGCCAAATCTCACTGTAACGGTTTATTCAAAACATTGAAACATTGTGCCTTTGCATCCAAGAATGTGTGCTTTCCATTTGATACTGATGAACTGACCCACTTTTTGCACAGAGGTTGAGGAGGAAGCCATCATTCAGCAATTCGAACGGAAGCGTAGAATAGGGACTTGGTGGATCGAAGGCGTCCACGATCTCCCATAACGTCAGTACTTTCACAAAATGTGTGTCCTTCCATACTAGCCTTAGGCGAAAGTCAAAGGAACAGAATGGGAAGTAGTTCAGCTGGTAAAGATTATCATTGCATAGTCGTATTTTGTTCCAAGGAGAGCCGAGGACAAAGAAACTCAATCTCAGCGAAGTGGAGGCGCCAAAAGCAATGATAGTGAAGCCCATCCCTGACAAGTACGCTTAAACACATGAATGCGATCGCTCTGTATACACAGAAGGGTGAAGTCAAACCCAAATGGCAGCTTATGTGATGATGGTTCGGAGTTTGTTCATGCAACTTGTCTCGACATTGAATTCCGCCGTAAAAAAAGCATTCGAAGGATAAAGCCAGAGCTTGATTTTATGGTTTGAATGTGGCAAGCGCCTTGCTAGCGTCAATAAGGGGTGGATCTATCGCCTGCTTCATGCCACAGAATCCACAAAACAGTACTTCCAAACGCCGTGTACAAAACGAGGGCTTCGAACATGTCAGAAATGAGGTCGACGACCGCTTGACGTACGGCAAAATCGTAAAATCAAGATGGCAACGTAATTAAAAGTTGCATACCTTAATTAAAAACCACTAAAGGACCCTTATTTTGATACCGGAATGCAAATTGCTGCGTAGGACTTACTGCAATCCAAAGACCTCATTCAAGACGCCACTGGTAGGAAAGCGAAGGAAAAGGCGATCTTTATTCCACCAAAGGTGAGCATCGGCACACCTTCTGCTCTGCTCTGTGGCGATTAGATGGAAACGATTGTTTGGTCGCTCGTCCTACCAACTGAAATGGCTATTCAGTGAAAGAAGAAATAGGCAAACTATCTTTAGATCCTCTTTGCAGACGGAAATCTGGAGCAAAAGTCAGGATTGGTAGAGAAGCGCGTCGGGAGTCAGTTCAAGCATCGTTTTATTGTTAATGGAGGCGCCAAAGTGGGGCTCTTTGCCAGTGACAGCGGTCAGTCTAAATCTCAGACACCTCAAAAAACAACCCATCGCAAGGGGCCGGCAACCGTCTCTGGATCAAAATGTTGAAGGTGCCAACCATTGGTTAATAAAGGTTGTTCCTCACTTTCGTCAACTTCATAGTTCCCCGTCAACTTGTAAAATTTGCATTTTCAAGCAACGCAACAACAAGGTTTAGGATGGCTGAAGCGTAAACTGGTGAACCCAGTTGCATGCAAGGATAATTATTAGAAAACTCTGCATTTTTGTTGGTTTCAGAGGAGACAAATTAGAGGGAAGTGAAAAGAGAGTAGGGCATAAGAGAGAGGCAAAAGGAAAGAAAAACAGAATAGGGCAGTAAAAGGTAGAACGAGAGAGGTCGGGATCATACAAAAGCGGACCACAGTGGACTGGAGGACGAGGAGGACGAGGAGGACGAGGAGTAGGAGGAGGAGGAGGGAATAATATGCTTCTACAAATCGCCTGAAACAGACACGACGGTGGCTGTGGTGGATTCGGTGGAGTCAGCGTCATCACAGGTCCGCTTGGTGTTAGTAGTGGAATCGGATTCCGTCGGAGAATCTTTTGAAGGCTAAAAACAGCCAAAAATGAATGGTTACTGTCATGCTTGCGGACAACTACTCATTTGCATGGTAGAAGCGTAGAGTGAGCGATTCTAGCAGATGGTCTGACAGATGAACGAAAAGCTAAGCTAAAAGGGGGCGTGACAACCGAATACTCCAAATGACAATGTGATAAAATGCAAAAAAGATGGGTTAAAAGGTGACTGATAGTGTCGCAATTTAGAACACTCCCCAATGGCGGTGCTTAGGGCATCAACCAAAAGTTATCTCGCATCTCGTCTGTGTGACTGCAAGGTTTGTCAGAAATGGAGCGCTTTGCATTTCGCTATGTCGCTTATCTGTAGGGTCCAGTGCCAGAAGAAGATGTAACTATTTCTAGTCTGTCAGCTGGGTAGAAACATGCAACACGTCGACGTCACAGCTCCACCTCACCCATAGCAGGGATAAGATGCACAAAACGGGAGAGAGAAATTAAAGAAGGGTTTTGGCACAGCCAAGGATATGAGTGAAATAGTCACCTCGCGGTTTAGAGACATGCATAAACACCCACTCGCACCGAAATGCTCAGTGAAACGGAGAATTGCAGAGAAATGGGGCTTCAAAAAGAAGCGGTATGATTGCATGACTTAAAAAAGACGGCATGATAGAGGCGCCTCACCAGATACAGTACACTTAGCCGTCGACCGGGATTACTAGCAATCAGCACGCCTTGAATGTGATGTGATTAGAGAAGGAGATAGTTTGGGCTCCGGATAAGGGCGTAAAACTTTAATTTAAAAACGCGATGGTTTAGCAAACAGGTTGAATGCGATGTGGAATGCGCTCATGAAATCTCCACCTCAATAATCACGCAGTAAAGTTGACCGTCTTTTTAAAAACTCTGGTGGACTCACTAACTCGACAGGTGGAGGGAGGAGGTGAGGAAGTGGCGCATAGATCCAGTTGGAAGACATCTACCAACAACATCCGGTTCACCGTCCATGACCCCAGGAAGCACAAGACAAAGTAAATGTCGTCTATGAAGAGAGATTACTGTAAATTCGAAACGTCGAATCAGAACCTACAACCCTTGTCTGAGGCAAGAAGACGACATCATACACACGATTGCCATCTCAGCCTTACCAGCATCCACAATCTCATATAGTCACCAAATCTGTGAAAAGATTTAACGGAGTCTCTACAATCAGGCAATCCACTTTTGACTAGGTCCGTGCACAATCCAAGGGATAAGCCAACTTTCCCACCGCCTCTCTTCAATTTTCAGGCGTAGAGCAAGAAACATTCCCAACACCCTTCTAGAGTGAGCTCACCATGTGGAGAAACTAGCGGTGGCTCCGTGACAGGTGAACCAGGAGACGGCTGGAAAATAAAGTGTCCTCACAGTAAGTAAGCAAGCAAGCGAAATCGCTTATAAGAGACTCAAAGTTAGACCACACTCGGTGCAGTGATTGACAGTGATGCCGTATTACCGCCACTTTGTGGCTGGCAAGCTCGAGTGAGGGGCCTTCCACCACCACCACCACCACCTCTTCCCTTAAACGCCAAAAATGTGGGTCGAATTTTACTAATTAAGTTAAAATAATTCTAAATTCTTACAATAAAAATAAATTCAAGATTTTGCATTAGATTGAATGATACCAAATTTTACGAGGAATGCGTAAATGTGAAGCGGTGGAGTTGAAGCTTGTTGAAACTTATTTCAGCAGAGAGGGAACCTAGCATTAATAGTTGAGAAATTCCTTTTAACTTCTCCTCAGACAACCAAAAGGCTTGCTTTTTAAGTCAATTACAAACAAAGTTGTTTGAAAATGAGTCGAAAGGAGAGGTAGAAGGAGGTGGGAAAATGGAGAAGCTGTTTACACGTCATTTTATAGTGGGAGTTGGTTGAGACCCTCTCTCCTTTCCACTGTGTACTGATTGTCGCATATTTTATGGCACCAAAGTGTTTTGCAGGTAAAAGGGCAACAATAACCCAGAAACTGAGGTGTTTGAGGCCAGGTCTCAAGGCAAACACAACAAGTCTGTGAATCAATGGAGCACTTTGTTTTTAGGATGAAAGACAATTTTCTACTACGTGGATTTAGACCACTGAAACGTTCTTTTTATCGCTGTCAAATCCCCATGCTTTGTCGGTGTTAAGGCGTAAAAGTTAAAGAGCTTCCCATAAAGCCCATTAAAAGGGGAAAAAACGAGGTCCGTAATCGCCTTTCCCCACAGAGTAATAGAGTTGCCATGCGTAAACAAGGTCATAAAGTGCTTTTTTTTTAAGACTTCATCAACATAACGCTGGTCTTGCAGTGCCACCAATGAAAGGGAGATGTATTTGTAAAATTATGAAATACAATTACCTTGAGTAAAAAAAAAAGTGGTTTGATTTGAAGGTACTTGGATGACAGCTTTGACTCCGCGCTCTCCCTCTCACAAACACTCAGACTATGCGATGGTGAAACACTTAAGCCTTACAAAAATGGCAAGAACGCGCAAGTGTCGGTGGTCACAGTCTTTTTAATCTGTTTTGATGCGGCCTCTCAAGTTTTAGCCAACTTTCGGCCTCCAAATAAAACGCACTGCAACACAGTCGTGTCTTCCATCCTCACTCGCAAGTGTGAGCATTGGCGTTGACACCTTTTTTCCTCTCATCTTGGTCGAGGACGGAGGCGCTCGAAAAGGTTCAGGCATTACTGTCACCAACTTCTTACCTGACATAACAGTGTTGATACATTTGGTGGAAGCTTGATTAACATCACACTTTTTGTTCAACCTCTCGGTGCCTGCTTCGGTGGAACACGAATTTGATCATCTTGGCATTATCACTGGAACCCTTGCCGAGGGACTGAGCAGCCGATTTTGAGATAATAATAATAATAATGATGATGATGAATGAAACTGGTCAGATAAGCAATCCCATCCTCTTTCCATCCATTACTTATGACACCAATGCATACTCGAATTCCAATCTCACTAATACGTGAATTAGTCTCCCACCAACGGGGTGGACCAATTCCCTGCAAGATCCGTCATCTTGTAATATCTTGGGTAATTTGACTCTTCTGAGAGTGCACTCTCTTTCCCATCCATGCAGTACAAAATTAAGAACTCTTTTACAGGAAGAGTGACATTTGCGGAAAACAAAAAAAAGAGGCATTCAATTAAGCGTGGAAGTGTAAATACCGCTTAACTGCAAAGCTCACTTCAGTAGGACTGCCGATAAGCCTCTGTACACGTCAGAATGTGCATGATGTTTCGTTACAAACCTCCGTTAATATAGAAATAGTAGTTTACGTATGAGTTTTAAGCGAGATGTTCAGTACAACTCGCTAACAGGCTTGCAGACATTTGTAAAGCAAGACGGACTGTCCACTTAACTTCAACTGACTTCATTCTTAAGCACTCTCCGTTTATTTGAAATGTCACTTCATCAAACATTAGTTAAAACTCTTGATCAGGGTAACTCAATCTGACCTGAGCTGTACCACAGGGTCGAGTTGACTGTGGAGTAGGCGTAACCGACTTCCATCACATTGTTTAGTTCAAACTCCACTGACCCATGGAGCACAGAGCAAAGCGGATTCACGTCAGGTGGAGAGCATGACTAGTCCAACGACAGTCCATCGAAGCGCCATCGCCGATCTTTATAATGCAATGTCTCGTCTTCGTCATTTAAAACAACCATAAAAATGTGAAGTGTGCAAAATGAGGATTTTTTTAAACTTAAAGTGGTCTCTTACACCACCGAGAGAGAAGAGGAGAGGATCAAAACAATCGACCATGTGCGTCTGGAATCAAAAGTCTGATCCATCCAGTCTGGACATCAAAGGTTAAAGTGATGGCAACTGGCATCGAAATTCGCGAGATTTTAGGGGTAAATAGTTGCAATGACCTTTGAGGCCTCGCAAGGATTTGTAAGCTGAGACCACTTTCCTACATTACGAGGTGGATGTAAGCACACTTTGCTGGATTTTCAAATACCTTTTCGCAGCACTTCTTACTCAGCTTCTCAGCAGTGGTCTTGTCAAAACACGAATCCACGTATCTTGTCGGTGTCGCAACATCGAGACACCAGAGATCGAGAAAAGCCGGGCAGCAGGAGCCAGGTAGGAGGCGCGGAAGCACCTGCCACATTCCACCCATCAATTGTGTTTTGTGCACAGATTTAAATGAAGCAACTAAGTCTAATCATATCCGTAGTATTTACATTACAGGTACTGTTTCAAGCCCTTGCAAGCATCGATATTCAAGTCGGACGCGTCAATATAACTTTCAGGCATTCTAAGTTACTACCAGCAAAGTTGAAGCTTCAGAAGTTGTCCCTTTCACTTCCATTGGTGGTGCCAAATCCGAGGAGAACGGCATTAAGTCGTACTCCCATTCCACACCTGCTCATCAAAAAAGTTGAGCCAGATTTCGCATTGTAGACAAGAGGATAATCACAAACACGAATGCCGGACATGATAAATTAACTCCTCAGAGCCCTTTCAAGCAGTTCTCCGCTAATCACTTCATAAAATGCCAGCCAATGTGCTGATAAATGCAACTGAAAGTCAATACAACCAAGGAGAGGAGGAATCAGCTTAAATAAAACTTAATGCATGACATGAAAATAAGGTGTACAGAATGAAAGAGACGAGAGACGAGGTGAAGAGGTAGTGCACAGTCCACTTGAGAGCCACCTGCTAGCAACATTCGGTCCACCACCCATGAACCCAGTGAACACAAGGCAAAGCACCTGTCATCGGACGTGATAGCTGTCCCAAAGGCGGATGTAGGTGAACCCCAAGCACTACCTTTCGTAATTCATCTGAGGTGAAATCACGAAAGATTAGTCTCATGCGATGATGGTGAAAAGAATGATGAAGTAAGGCATTAACACCATAAAGGTGAATGGATGGGGAGACTGTAGACTTAAGACCTCTACCTCTAGCCTCATGGAAAGGATGATGGAGCGAGAGTGCGTGTGACGAACAACGAATTTGCTTGAGTCCAGGTGACCTAGAAACCAATAGTCAGACCCATTCGGTTTCCATAGCAAAGGTCTATGAATGGACTTTCACATCAAAGGATTGGACAAAGCAGATTAACACTTTAAACGTATTCATTCCTCAAAACACTTGAGAAACAAAATGAAGTTATTTTTGCGATGATTTCGATAATGGATGTGCTTTGTTCCACAAGTTAGAGTTGATCGAACCAAATAGAAGTTGATATTTCCTTAAAACGACTTAACTAACATTTGAAGGAGAGGTAAGAGATGATCTCAACTGCTCGGCATTGATGGCGACCAGGTTTGGAGTGAGAAGACCTTCCAGGCACCAAGCCGGAAGTACGAGGCGTTTGTACTCGGAATTACTCGATGGTCTTGTGGTGCCAGTAATCTTAATTAATGCTTAGCCTGGAGTGCTTGCGCGTCAAGTCTGTGGCGTTTGCATCATCAAGCACAGCCGAGTGATGATGGAATGTCATTCGAATACGTTGTCAGTAAGTTGCTTGCTGACTGACTTATCCACCAAATTTCTCGCTTATCAAGCGCCAAAATCGTCTCATTGTTGCCATAAAGCAAGTCGCAATCTATTTCACATCCCCAAAGCTGCATTTTTTACGCAAAAGAATGACGGACAATTTCCACTGCCTTGTTGAATAAAAATTTGTATGAAAGTCATTGTGGAAGTAAAAACCCTCTGAACGTATCAATTCACTTGTTGCCACTGTCTACTAAGCGACAACTGGAATTGTTCTATTTTCAAAACTTCAAGGAATCAAATGGCATACCAGTCCCATTTTCACCGTCCAAGTGGCATCTGCCCACAGTTCCTGCTGCAAAATGCTCTCTTATCAGACTCATGCGTGTGTGGAGGGCAGTAAAAGCGGGTGATTCACCACTTGAAGTCGGATCGCCGACTCCAGGTGGAAGAGTCAAGAGGTAAGCATTGCCTGCCGCCTATCCGCCACCCAATGAGAATGAATTGGGGAAGGAAAAAGAGGGCAATGGAGAGGGATGGACATTTATGCCCACCATACCAGGTTTCCACTTACAGTTACACTAGAGTGATCAAGAAGGAAACAAGCAATTGAGAAGAAAGACAAACGTTGTGAGTCAAGAGTGGGAAGCGCTACTAGGGCTTGTAAAATCCTCGCTTTGTCAAAACACAGTCTCCTACCGAGATGAGTGTTGCAACAGCGGCACGGTGGTATTTTCAGGTTCCACAAGGACTTAAACGCATCGTCAGGTGATTAAAAGGTTGTTCCATTGAAGAGCAGTTGGAAAGTTATGAAAATCCTGACTCATATTTTACTCACAAAGGTGAGAACATGGGAACCACTCAAAGGAGCTGTTTTTCATCATCCATACTAACATCTCGAGATAAAATCTGACAAAAGTGGGAGAAACTAAGGCACATTGCATGAAGTTTGGGGGGGGCCTCGTTCCAATGACTTGTTCTGGGTTGTGATTCTCCCCTCAATAGTTCCCACCTGAAACGAGGTGAGGATTGCATGAATCGTGGTAACAAAATGCACCACATAGCATCTGATGGTAGTGTCGATTCAATAAAGGAGAGATGGGCAGGTAAATCTTGCATCCCTTCGTCAGGAAGACGCCCTTTTATGCTTTAACATGCAGAAGTACACAAGGTAATGGGATGGAACTTGCGCCAACAACCACCAGGAATGCAATAAGTTGCACACACTTCAAATTACCGAGAAGGCTCCATCGAGATCGAAATCGGCTATTCAATCCTCAACTCTTGTACATACGCCATAAGGGGACGTTCACTTGTGTCAGGCAGTAAAAATTGGTTTCACCACCCACCCTTTTCGCACTTCTGTGGCAACCACCACTTCTGTCAATAAGACCGGACGAGACAGGAGAGTACGCTCACTTGCTAAAAGCCTGACATCACGTCAACGATCAAATCCTTCGGTAGCGTTCAGAGTTAAAAAGAACTCCCTGTACAGCGGTTATTAAGAGATTAGTTGTTTAAGTTCGGCAGGGATAAAGGAAATATTCTCCCTCTCTCTCAGTCTCAAGCGGCAATAGCACTAGGCAAACGGAAGTAGCTAGTGTCTCGTATCAACTGTATGTCCTGTTGAAAAATGATTTTATGTGGGTTGCAACAGTAGTTCTTTTCCATTAATTGCAAAGCCTTACAACTTCATTGACTTGCTCTGTATTTTCACAGATCATGTAGACCTCCAAGGCGGGTTCGAAGCTGTGCAAAAGAACACTTTGTGATTTTAAAAAAAGGAACAGGTTTGTATTGGCTAGAGTAAGTCACTCCTCTACCCCCTTTCTAGGGGAACACCCACCGAGGTTGCGTGATTCTAAACAAATTAAACAATCAGCCATTTTTACGGATACATCTTAACATTGATCAGCGGACGATAAAATCCACAGCTTTTATCTACCTTAGGGGGGGCTAAACAGACCAGTAGCATAGTCACAGAATCCAAATGAATCAATAAAGTGACTTGAGGGGGAAGACGGGCATTAGATACTACTGATATGGGAAATTAAGTAAAGCCTCAAGTTTGTGTTGACTGTCGACAACCGCAGGGCTACCCACTAAGGTGGGGGATACATCGAGATCAAGCCTCATGAGCTTCTCATAAGCAAATAGTCAAGTTGTGAGAAAAGAGTTGTAAATTTAAAAGTCCAGTCAAAGTCAGACGACATCAGACAGGCTGAACCAGACACTGAGACACCACTCGGAGTACAATTGTCCGAAGAAAACCAAAAGCTCGACTAACATGACACAAAAAGACAGCATATCTTCAAAAGAGGAGTGAATTCTGCGTGTTTGACGGTTAAAAAAGGAATACTTGACGGCATTCCGGTAGCTGATGGCTGAGCGATGGGCGGCACACACACATCCACACAACACGTTTACTCAGCTCAATAGGGAGCAGCTTTTCTAAGAATCTTTCATCCGACGCTTGAGCACTCTTCAGGTCGGAATTCTCGAATCCTTGAAAAAGCGGTGAGAAAAAGTAGTATCTCACTTTACTTCATTAATTGAGGTCCTCGTCTCAAAACGGATTCCTCAATAAGTGCATTAGTCGCTCTCACCTACAAAAGATACTGAAATGGGGAGGAGATGTGCCGTCACCTGACTTCAAAACACTCATAAGGCAGAGTAGATGGAATGGGAAAAATCCACTCTTTTGTACTCATCCCAGCTTAATTCTTCACAAAAAATTATAATTCGAATTAATTTGATAGGAAAATCTTTCGATTTTCTAAAAAAGCAACTACAAATGACAATCTTAAGCTTGAAGACAACATCACGCCAAACAGACAGCAGGAAGCGATTACATTCACGTGCATGATGTCGTCTTGCTGTGGAGGTGACCATCACCACTTCTTCTCTCTCGTGACAAACATAGTTGATAAACAGCGTTTGGATCAAATCAACCTCCAAATGCAACAAATTCAGCACTTAGCAGTCTCCTCTCCTTCCCTGACTTCGTGAGGAGTCAAAACCACCCTCCATGGTAGCATCAACTTTCCCTCCCCAAGAAGTACCACAGAAGAGCCGTTTTGCATGCCTCCAAACGCACCTGAGCTTTGTGTTTTACTTACATTTCAGAGTTTGTTGTGTTCAGACTTTCTGGCTGCCTACACTTGAGAAATTTCTGCTATTCCGAAGCCTGGTTCGAGCACAATCACCACAGGATTGGTGTAATCGAGCTTTATGGCACTTAATGCAGCACAGGCAGACTAACGTCACAGACTACTTGTAGACAGAAAACAAAGGCAACTGTGCTTGTGATGTCCCTTAACCTAATTAAAGCATGTAACCTTACTTCTTGGAAGTCTACTCGTGCAAACATATTAGGTTAGCAGTCCAAAAGAGCATGTACTCTCCCTCAAGAAGGTCCCGTAATTCAATGCATGCCACGCGCCTGTCTCTGAGCAAACCCAGACAACTAAAATGCCTATGCAAGCAAGGTGGTCCCAGGAATAGAAGGAAACAACTGTTTGGAGACAAATTTGGGGGTGATCAGAGTGTCTTCAAGTCGAACCAATGATTGAAACCATTGATGACGTCAATGCACAAGCAGTAGAACATTATCAGGGTGTGGTAATAATTTAATTGAATACAATGAAGGAGGACTACACATCCACTACTGTGTTGGACGCAGCAATCTCAACAGAGTTACAATACTGTGATCGAGGACCCACAAGTTTGATGCATTCCCGGAAATGTGGTTGACCTCTACACCACACCCAGTCGCGTTGTGGAGCCTTCAAAAGCCGTGCTCACTTACACTCATTGCACAAAACAGATCCAACCTCCTACCTGGCGTGGGATGCATTATATGAGGCAACTGAATAAGTTAATAAGTCAAAAGGAGGAGAAAAAAATCATAGAGCACCAAAGCAAATTAACTTATGGTACTTGACAGTGTCAGCGAGTACAGGAAGTGCTCAGCAGGCAAACCGGAATCTGTGCTGTTGCTTAACCAAAAAATTTGGCACCACAGACATCTAGAGGTAAACCTCTGGCGAAGATCAGAATGCAAACGGGAATTTGAAATCCACAAAGACGCAGACGAGAGCACTACGTGAGCGAACTGAGTTGAAGTGTATCAGAGGTGCTCTAAGAGGCAGGTGAGAGACGAATGGAGAGAGGTTATGAGCTACTTCATATGTAGTGAACACCGCGACACTAATTGATCATAGAATTATCGTAAGGGGATGTGAGTCATGTGTTGGAGAGAGAAAGAGAGGCTTAAGAAGGAATATGCTATGGGCCGAGTGTGTAAAAAGAAGAAAGGCTCCTTTTTGTGCAGCCCTAATTGACAGAATCTAAGAGATAATATAACACAAGTCAACTGCTTTTTGTTTACAAGCGCTTTCGAAGGTTAGGAGGGAGGAAGACGGATGAATAGGGGGCTTCAGAGACTTGCACTCTAACTCTTTCGAATATGTTGCTAGGTCAACAATACGCCACTCCACCGAATTGACCTATTCAGTGTAAAAATAGCTCATCACTATCGGCTTTATTTAAAGGTCATTTGATAAAAAACGGAGCTTTAATGATGATTTCCCCAAACTGGTGCAAATTACGCACTTTAAAGGTACTGAACGCCACCTCAATATACGCAGCGTGTACCACAATTACATCGAGATAAATGATCGCAGTCACAAGCAGGAGTTGTTGAGTAATTTTTCAATGAACTTAGGAAATCTTAAGCTGAGAAGAAATGCAAAGAGATAATCGAAAGTCCCTCTCATTAAACAGGTACGTTGCTGATTTTTAATAGTTAGGTTTAATGCAAAAGGACAGCCAGAAAAAAGGGAATTCGCATAAGGCAGATCTATAAGCACTTATAGTGTTCAATTTTGCAAACGATTTTCTGCAACTTACTACCACTTTTGGAGGGTTTTACTAAGACTGGACTGGATTTGAATGCATCGGACCATTTGCTGGAATTGGACTTCTCAGTGGTTGCCTTGCTACTGTTGTTGCCACCAGTGCCGCCAGTGATGTCATTGTTCTTGGTGCTGTTGTAGTTGTTCCGAGGGGAGTGGCTTGAATACTTTTGCTGTTGCACAGCCGAGCATTTAAGGGTACTGGAAGATGTGGCGGAGGTAGTAGATCCAGCAAATAAGATCCTACTTTCACTCATCTTATTGCCTAATGGTCGAGGGGTGTTTGAGATATCGATGTCAACAAAGTCATAGTCCTCCGGCTCGTCAAAGGTTGACGAAGAATCTGAGTCCGAACCCAATGCGGATCGATATCGGTCGAGGCTGTCCATATCATCGTAGCTTTCTTCTGATGGATAGTTGTATTTGGTGATCAATTCGTCATCATCCTTAAATGTAAGCCTCTTTTTGTTCTATAAAATAAATAACACAATCAAACATGATCCCTTGCACACTGTTTAAAATAGTATTACAATGCAGTCAATAATGACAAACCTCGATTCCCAAAGAAGGACGACCCTTTTTCAAAATGGATCGGATGCTGGAATTGGTAAAATTTGAACTCGACAATCCCGTGCTGCTAGACACAGATGAAGTTCGAGAATGTACTGGTGATCCATTTAGGAGCATTCTTCCTCCACCTTCATTTTCACCTTTCTTCATCTTATTCAAAGCAACTTCTTGCTGCCTGTCAGCTTGGAATGCCACCCAGCGTTCAGTAAAATCATAGGAAGATTGGTCAACTTTAAGACCGAATTGTTCCTCTAGCGCCTCATCGTATTTGTAATGTACACGTAAAACGTCATTGCTGTGACCACTCAGTATGGACTTCGGTTTTTTAGGAACAGGTGGGGGTTTCTTGGAGGGATTTCGTGTGGAACTCGACTCAGGTGGGATAGCGGCGCTGTCGGTTCTTTCTTTTCTCACCCTATTACCAATATCATTTTCGGCCAACGTCGGATGTTTAGGACCAGATTCAGAGGGAGGTATAGGCAACCTTGAAAGCGAACCATTGTTTTCCTTCCTTCCGCTTGCAACCCTGGACCCAAAAGTAGAAGGCTTTGTGGGGACTCCACATTCCACATTCTCATGGTCATTTGAAGTTTTTTGCTTGCTTGGGGGTTCAGGTTGGATATTAGGAGCTGTTTTGCGGATAACGTGAGGTTTGGGTTTAACTTTTGGAGGAGCGTGCTTGTTTTTAGAATGGTCACCTAAAGCTCTATCCGTATACGATCGGTCGCTTGCATTGCCGAAAGACAAAACACTGCTTGCATAGCTATTCTGATTATTAATATTCCTTGCAGAATTACTATGCCCATTAGCTCCATGAGGTAATCCATTATGAGGGTTGTCATGATTGTTTATGCAAGATCCAGAATCCGAGTTACCACTGTTCTCAAAAAGCCTCTTCATGGCCTCCACAGTCCCAGCCGCAGCGGTTGCCATTTTCGGTGAGACGATAGCCAAAGAAATAACCATGTGGTGCGGGGCTTTTGGTAAACTTAAACAAAATCATATTAAAAATGCATGTTATGCTTTATCATTTTGTGTCTGATCTTAGGATGCCGAAGAAACACTTTTTTGTATACACTATGGTGTTTTTAAATAAAGGCATGGAATATTAATCAATTCTTTTTTGCATCACAAAGTTGGCCAGATTTACCTTTTGTGATGCTCCTTTTCAATTCTCTGTTTAAATATTATGCCCAAATTTGTTCATGATTAATGTCGTTACTTACATTAAACTACACGGCACTATTGCCTCTATGTCAGTCCCGCAGCATGGTACTTAAGGCTGCTAGTAGCCTAACTGGGAACCTATGTATTACTAACATACGTTCTCCCATACCACTTTTGACCTCCACCGTAGCCTAGGCATCACTAATGTAGCATTCCGAGATTTCTCACAAGGTAGATGAGCAACTATGCTGGGTTGAATGCATATATTCTAGGAGTAGAAGAGATTAGGCCTAAGTTAACCCCATGGCCATCCCGCGCGCACAAGAGCGAGAAAAATACATGAATCCCCACCAGTCATGTAGGTAGTACTCAGACATATTATTGAGTCTATCGTCAAATTTTCCTCTTAACTGACTCCTCTTTAGATTGTCTGCTTATGGTTTCTACATTTTGAATCAGATTGCAAATTTCAGAGGGTGGTATGCATGGAGACGGAATGAGGTACCTGTCCTGGTCCAGTGGTGAAGTCTGATGTCTTCCTGAGCACAGCTTTAGAACTGATTCCCCGTCGCTCATCTAGAAATCTAATTTTTCATCTAGTATTTTAACAAGTGCAGTTTCAGAATTATTTGTAGGTGCCTACTGTAGCGGTCCGAGACTGTCCACTAGATAAAGGCCGCATCAAGTTGGACTGAATGCATGTGCACGAGGGAAGAAGGGAGAGAATGGGCTTTGGCTTGATTCGAAGACCAGCCCACTGTCATAAAGGCAAAACAAATATTAAAATGCTCAACACTCAAACAGGCATCAACATTAACGATGTATCACAGTTAAACTTGTTCTTACGGAGCAAACCTAGTTTACTACGTGTCGGAATGTGGCTTTCCAAGTCTTCTTTTTATACAAATCGAGACATAGAATGTTAGTTTAATTCATATATTCGAGCAGAAGGGGGGAATTTTAGGATTTCGGCAAGTCCTTGGTGCCGGCGCGACCGGGAGAGACAATATAGCCACTCAATTCATTGTCACTTACCTTAGTATTTAGAAAAAATATGAGAGGGTACTTCCGGTTGCACTGTTAATTGCCCATCAATTTAATGTACAATTACTTTTTGGGTTTGTTTGCAAAAGTTCCGGTTCCAATGCTTTCGAAACTATTAGAATGTTCGTTAGCTATTTGTTAGCTGACCATTGCTTTCTTGCCACAACTACTAAGTGGAGGAGAGAAAGGGGCAGATTCGGTGGAAACCACCAAAAGTTTGTTGTACGATCCTTTGTTTTTCACTAGGCGAAGACTTTGTGCACATTTAGATCGCATAGTTTCTATACACTCCTCCAACTAGCACCAAGCTCAAGATATCTTTCCACTCAAAATCGGTATAGAATGCCTCTCTTTTCGATCTATGGTGACGTTCAATACCTAAAAGTCGTTATTTTCATAAAGCTTGGTTCGGTAAGTCGAAAAGGACCTAATTTTGTCACTTCCGTCCGCCTGTTTTAAGCCTTATTTTCTGCTTGTCCCACTCCACTACCTCAGCACTGTTTTCTGCATAAGTTTCTTTAAAGCTACGCCTCATCGTACCTTCGCATTCCCCCCCTCCGGTCATAAGGCAGAAATGGTCAAGAAAAATCACCTTTGTATATTACTGCGCTAGAGGATTCACAGCTTCCTTTCCTTCAGCGTAAACTAAATGAGAGAGGCGGGAGGCGACGAAATGAGAAAGGCGAGACACAAAAGTAAGGCACGTTTTTCACCTAGCTCACAGATTACTTGATTCCTTTCTTTTCGAATTCTTGCACAACGACAGCGAATACCTCGTCAATTGTTCCTGAAGCATCGATCTAAAGAATCGAGAAGTGAGACTCAACGTGGAAATTCAGGGAACCCACATCATTGCTTTCGCTGTTTAAATGTCTACTATTTCCAATTATTAGTAGCATGGACCACTTGCATTGGCTTAACACTTGTTCTTGCATAGGAAAGCCAACTGTGCCATAATTCAGAGAAATTAGCGAGTTTATGCGCATCATGATTTAAATAATCAAATTTGAACCCAATTTGATCGAGAAAAACAAGGTTCCTGGCACAAGATAGGGCTAAGTAGAGTTCTTGCAAAGGCAAGAGAACAGAAAGAAAGATGGTTTAGCAATTTTAACTCGACTCGAAGCTACTCCGATTGCAGGCCTGACCGATATGATGAAAAAGAGTAGAAAAGGAGGCGAACTGACCTTGATGACTTTGCCCTTTTGAGTGTAGTGCTTGATGACAGGTGCAGTTTTTTCCTCAAAGGTCTTCAGGCGCTGCACAATGGTAGCCTCGTTGTCGTCAGCACGACCACTCGTCTCGCCGCGCTTGAGAAGACGCTGCTTCATCACCTCCTCATTCACCTCAAAGTACAGCACCGCAAAGCATGGTGCGACCTGATGGGAAAATCAGGAGGCAGAATTACGCCGCGCTCCGTTAGTAATGGCACACGAAGGAAACAGCCTGGCTCGCCGCATGGTCAGCTAGCCATTTGTGTTTAATACAACAAATAGGTGATTGAAGTTTTCAGTTTCCTGCCTTTTTATCATTCCCTTGTATCGTATTATGTTCGTCGAGATTTATAAAGAGCCACATTAACTTAATATACTAGAAATTTGGTGTTATTAACATCTCAAAGCATGCTTTGGGCATTTCGAGTAGTTTACAAGGCGGATTTGACCTCAGAGACAAGTTAACGAACTGTGGAAGGTAAGGTCGTTGGCAAAGCTTAGTTGTTAACTTGTTGCCTAATGTTGGCCCTGATCACCAACACAACAGCTGCAGCGAGTAGATGTCCTTTGAATTTGATTGGCCTACGGAACGATGAAGGACTTTGTCGTTTGACCTTGATGACCAACCAATGACACTACAGGTTAATGGCTGTTCGCCTAATTCGAGGAGAAGCATCTGCTCTCAGGTGTATTGCAGAAGAACACAAATTGCCGGCTTAATCATGCAGCGTATCACTCTAATTGCCCTGGAGTGTGAAAAAAAGGGCACTGAATTGGGAGATTGCAGCAGGCATAGAGCACCGTAGAGGCCGGTTGTTTGCTGACTAATTTGTCGATGTAAATTAGGCGCTATCTACCCAAAGTACCTAAAGGCACTAAGACTGAATGCTTTACCTTCGGACTTGCACTTCAGCCTCAGTTAAATGCTTTAAGGAATGATTAGGAGAGGTCAGAATGCAATAAAGCAGTGAGGCAATTACACTTCATTGGTGGCGGCGTTAAACCATTCATACAAAACGTCAGCAGAACATTGCGAAGGCGTGATGAAATTGAAAAAAAAAGCACCAAACCCTCTGAGATTTCTTTTTCAACTTTTCCTAAAAGTGGTTTTAATAATTTGTCTATGCGATTGCTTCTTAAAATAACGTACACTTTGATAACCATTTTGCCTTCGCCGGTGGACCAGCTTTCTGTCTCAAAACAATTCTTCAACCAAGTAGGCGCCATGGTAGTAGTTTGCTCTTACCTTCTACTAGGGTGAATAACGGGAGTAAAACGCTCCCTTGGTGTCGAAAAAACAATAAGGTGGTCAAAATTTCCCCTCTAAACAGAGTTATGGTCATTGCCAGTTTAGCCTGTAAAAATAGTAGTCAAAACGAAGAAAAGTTGTTAACGTACATCCCTCTCGAATCGAGTTCCTTGTTCAAGTTCCCGTGGATACCCATCAATGAGGAAGTAGGGACTTTTGTCGATAAGCTTCAGCATTGCATCTTTGATGAGTGCGAGGACGATTTCCTGGGAGACAAAGTAGAGGTCAGCATGGAAAACTCAGGTAGGGCGTCTGAAAAGCTTGGTTCGTGGTATCGGTGAGAAGTGGAGCGTCTAGTTAAAACTCTGTTCCGAATCAAGGGTTGAAAATAACCCCATTTTAAATTGGCAATTTCTTACCAAAACAACTGAAATGAACAGCATTTTCCGGGTTTTGAGACACTCTCCATCAACCCTCTAGTCGATGCCATTTTTAAGCTAACTTACTGCCCTTCATCACTCCACTTAGTCATGAAATGATAGTAGCAAATGAGGAGAACTTTTCTCTACCTTCAAGGGATAGGACAGCACTTTGAAAGAGCGCAACCGAAAACACTCCGTTAACATAAAGGCTTCGCTGGGCATTGGCTGAATTGTCCCTAAGAAAGTTGGGAATGCGAAGAGGTTCTAGTAAAATTACTCAATATTGGCTACGCTTCTTCCATGGAGTGTCTAGACGATCACTGAATGCCTATTTGTGTCAAGCTTGAAGGAAGATTTCCCAGGCATCGAAATTACAGTGCAGACATCATTTCTTTCTTCTGTGAGGAAAATACCACTGACTGTAGATCCTTACATTCAAACTACAGATACCAGAAGAGAGTTGCTTTCACGTGCTTGCTTAAAAGGGTAAGCTAGCAAATTTACTTCAGTAACAAAAATTTCATTTGCAAAAATCGCGAATCGCTGTCTGGACGCCTTGATCTGTACGAACAACAATGACGGATACAGTACACAAATTTGCTGCTTTTCTGTTTTGTGCCTGTGGACAAACACTCTAGAATCTCGAAGACACTCCCACAGTGAATGACTCGCAGGTATTTGGGCGGCAAAGCGATAGCTGCACTTATTCCAGCCATGCGATACTAACATGCAGGTATTCCTAGGGTCTACCCACGCACACAGATGGGGAGAAATCGAGGGACACGTTGAGGTGGAGGGCAATTCACGCACTCAACCAATGGCATTGCGGAAACACGTCTACGTGGACTGCAGAAAGGGCCCATTAATAGGGAACGGCACAGTGGCACACAGATGCCTCTACTACCTAAACCCGATCAATGGACGCGTCGGATGTCGCCAGAATCATCTCTTGCTGAACGAGTGCCCGGTCAACACAGTGCTTGATGCAGTGGAAGCAAGTGTCTCTTAGCAAACTTCGTTGCTTATACCCGACACCTTAAACTATGAAAGGTTTTACTGAATGTGCCCTAATCCCACCTCAGAGAGCAATTTCGATAGCAGTATTGATGGTGAATTGCGTTTTCGCATTCTCAAACTAAGTCTAACAGCAAATTTGTTCATCCAAAAACTTTTGTGAGTGCCGAAACGGTGTTACAAAACTTTGTTGGTTTAACTGCATACATAAGGGACGATTGCTTTGGCGAAACTATGCTTCTGCCGAGTGCGATGATCTTCGGGTCAATACCAAAGCCCACCTCTTCCCCTCCTGTGTGCACACAAGCATTGAGTCAAGTCTCAGGTCTTCTAATACCTGGTGGGAAGTCTGGAGACGGTACCAACACGGCTAAATTAAGTTTGCTAAGAGTGGTTTGATTAAAATTGACAAAGCATTCAATTGGCATTTAACAGCTAGCTAACAAACAACTCGATGTCTCGATTCTTTGAAATAAGGCATTATCCAAATTGACTTACCTCCCAATTCAGGTCCGAATTTTTAAAAATCTTTTGTCAACTTCAAGGCGGAATAAGTCATAAAAATGGAGCAGTTTTTTCACGACACGACCACCAATTTATGCGGTCAGTGATTCTATCTGGATGGAATCCATGTCTTGAACAAACATTTGGAAGTCTTTCGTTGGGAAGCGTGAGAACCCAGCCCTAGCACGGGGTTGGCACTAAAACAAACCTTTCATGAAGGTGGCAAAATGCAATTTGAACAAACAGACCTCTCGACCGCGAGTAAGAATAAACCGCTTTCCCTTCTTTTCGACTACGCTGAGCATCCTCCCACTACACGCAATATCAAAAAAAAACCTCCAAAAGTTCTCACAACCCCTTTACAAGGTATACCAAACGAGAAGTGGTAGAAAGCCAAAGACATTACACCAGCCTCCGTCAAACTCAATGCATTAGGAGTTACTCTGAAGCTCTCCTTTCAAATACAAGTCAAGCAGAATGAACTCGCAGGACTTATGCAATAGTCTTTCCAAAGTGCATTAATGTGAATCATGTAATACGAAGTTGCACTTACTTTTTTCACTTCCATTATGGATGTCATACGTTTAATTGAAAAGTGAAATACTGTAATAACAGCATCCTAAAATGTTTGAGGACAATTTTAACGCATACGAATTTTATTTTATTTTGATAATCACTGAAAAAATTAAAACTATATTTGTTTTAGTCACTATCAAGGCTTTTCACAAATTAAACCAGTGAGCTCTTCCCAGGCGGTTGGTTTTGTGGGTCGTGTTAGTTACCTCGGCTACGCAGCCGGGCATTTCCGACTCTCGGAAAGGGCACAAGGCGCTCGTAGGGGATTGAAAATGCTCCTCAGTACTCGATACAGTGTGTTGTAGATGCAATCTCTTGATCAAGTCATTTCACTCAATTCCAATTGAGTAGAAGGCAGAGAGGCGGACTAACAACAGAATGTTAGCCAATGCTATGAATATGAGTGAATATGATTAGTTAATCCTCGAGCGATGCGACATTCTTCCACACCATAAATCCTAGCTAAAGAACGGATTTGTTCAATCTTTGAGAAGAGAAGGGGAATCGCTACATCCAAAGGAACTGATGCCTACCAAAGAGACGAGTTCTCCCTTCTCCATGATAGCTTGCAACTCCTTACCACGAGGCGAGCCGGACTGAACCTCCGCTCGAAGAAGATCGCCGCTTGACAAGTGGTTGAAACCGTACTTGGCCACGATCTTCTCGCATTGTGTGCCCTTTCCGCTGCCCGGTCCGCCTGCATAGAAAAATGTAGGCAACGCATGGCAGCAAATTTTGCAGAATGGCCAAAAGCAATGGATAGAGCAAAGTACCGACTGGAACTGAGTAGACCTTTAATTACTCGTCTCATTGAATCCAATATCATCTGGTAGCTCTCGTAAAAACGGCACTTCTCATTCTAGCATGCCAAGGAGACGCCATGGCAATTATTTAGCACTTCAGCTATGTGAGTTAAAGTCGAAAAACTGCCAAATCCGATGCATTTTTCCTCTGAGGATGTGCAGATCTGTTATCATAGATAACTTCAAAGTCCAAGGTGCCATCTTTTGCATATGAACCCACAGAACGCGGTATAATGTTTCCTTACGTACGTTCCATCTAGCTAACTAATTTATGCAAGGCCTGAAAACATGAGAAGTGGGAAAAGCAAAAGACATGTGAAAAAATGTTGCGTGATTCAAAGAGGCTCCATAAGATGAGCCGGTTCTACTAATCCTATTGAAGGCAGCGGGATTACTCGATTCTCTTGGTCCTTTCTCAGGCCTTTCGGTCAGCCCTCACCAGGGTGAATTAACACAGAAAAACAGAAATAAGCACTTGGAATGGTGTCAGATCTCATGGTTGACCTTCAAGCGAACTTATGGTCATATGAGGTGGTCATTGGTTTGTCTAACCGATCCAAATGAGTGATCCATTTGGACTCTCAAAATCCATTTAATCTATAGTTGGCTTGAATAAAGGAGTTTAAACATGAGGCAAAGCGCGGAATTTCAGATTTGAGTAAAGTGGTTCTGAACTCTTTCCATTTAAAAAAAAAACAACTGCCTGAGCACTAGCCTCGAAGCATCAAATTTCCTGACTCCCTTTCCACACAGGCAAGGTTTGTGCGCTCCAAGTCATATGAATTGCTTCCTAATTACTTTGCAAGTGATTAATTGCTCAGCTAACACTTAATTTTAATAACGACCAGATGACGGCCTCCAGTACTGTATTTTGCCGAGAGGCATGATCCTCAGGATATATACACGTTCCACCCGAGTGTCATGCAGCCTATTTTCTTCAAGAAAGCCTTAAGGTAGTCGAGTTTTCTTGTTTGATTTTCATATAAAGGAATCAACAACAGTTCGCACAGTTAAAAATGACAAACCGTTTTATTAACGGAGATGGCTGAATTGATAGTGCTCAGCAGAAAACGTACAAGTAGAATTTCTTAATGCATTGAGTTTCATGAAAGACTGGTGATAATCTAGTAGAATTACCATCTTTTTTGAAAACAGAAAATTCGTAAATCAACAATCGCCCCCATTTCATAGATCCAAATGCAAAAAAAAATTAAGAAGTTTTGATAAATATGCTAGCTTTGAACCTTACACATGTGGCACCAGAAACAAGAATCATTAATCCGTTTATTCGGACGATAATTCATATTTAAGATTCGCCAAAAAATCAGCCAATAAATACGGGACCTCAATTTCTCAGCAGAAAAATAATAGTGGTTTTTTGTCGAATGACTTACCTTAGCGCCAGGCATTGGTAGCGCTGCTAATGGGAAAGGTGGAAAAAGAGGGAGGGAGGAACACTCACCAAGAACAAAAACGACCTTCGCTCCCTTGAGCTTCTCGTCCACCATATCGCCTCCAAATCCTTTACTGCAAAGCCCCCCTATGTTGAAGCCGGGTAAAATTTAAATTTAGCAATGTGTTGGTGCGCGTGTGTCTGTGGGGTTGAATAAGGCTGACAAACGCGCTTTCGTCTTGATTTCCACCAATCACGCGCCTTTGCTCTCCTCTCGCGTGCGCACGTACAAAAGTCTATCGACTTTTGCAGCCTCGACCAATCAGAGAGCAAGTTTTTTGCACCTGCTATAGGTTGAAGGCGGGGAGGTCGGTCTCGCAGTGACCTATTACAAACTTGGATCCTCTTGACTGTTATCTTCGTATGTGTGCTTGTGGTTGCATGCGTACCTTCTTTACCTCTTAAAGTCCTACTTTTAGGAGAGAGGTTAACCCTAATTTTGAGTCCCTATGTAACTTCAGAACGATAAATTGGAATTAAGATCCAAAGTCTTGATGCTAGAGCTATCACCGGAGAGGTATATCCAGTAAAACGTAGAGATAAAGCGATTCCTGTTAGCACTCTGGCTAGCATACTAGGTGTTAGTGTAAAGTTCTTCAAAATTATTGTTATGGACCCTCCAAGGCAGGTTCTACTTTTAGGCGTTTCTTAAAAGTACCGTCAAGCCTGGGTTTTACCAACACTTTATTTCTCAAACACTCCAACACTTCCTCTCGAATAATACAAACTGACGGCATAGGAAAGCCTGAAGAAGATTAATGATACGATGCAAGGTACCAGGCCGTCGCGTGGACGGATAATGGTGGAGCTACCATGACACCCATCACTAGGATCGACGATTAAGCAAACGATTAGCCTATTGAGTTTCATTAACTACCTTAGCGATCTTCAAGGCTTTGTGCCTTATTGCCGCAAGTCAAAATTTGATTCCATTTCAGGTGGCATTGCGATCAATAAATTTAAAATCATTTGACCTATTGATTTGATCCTAAAACTAGCATGGTATTAGTTTGTTTCTGTGCATGTGGTGATTGAACCAAAGCATGGGGTCTAAAGCGTCGAAATCGACATCTAGAGAGAGTGTCGAGCACGGGTCAAACCACGACAACAAATGTCGCGTCACTTCAGCGGCGACATGGGTACAGACGGAGCAAGTAAAACTGGGTGTAAGCACAGATTGGATTGAAGAAGGTGTGCAGACGGAGCCAGTCTTAGTTCGACCGCTTGTACCGCGAAAGGTTTATAACCTCCTAGATAAGAACAACGATGACGTTGACGATGTTTCGATATTTTCAGACGTTACTTCTCTGTCAGCTGATGTCTCCTTCTTCACTGAGGTGCAATTGTCAAACCAGGCTAAGGAGACTAATGACCCCTGCACCATGTCTCCAGACTCTGGCTGTTTTACGGCCAACATTTATTTGGAGGACACGCAGCGAATGAAAGACACAGGATTTGAAGGAGCAGAAGCACCTGTTCCTACCAAACGACATCGCCGTGTGCTCGAGTCTCAGGAGACCCCAGTGAATTTAAACGCGGCCAAATTTGAGTGCTGTATGTGGGTACCAACGGAAGAAGTGGCGAGAATCTTCGCGACGTCGAAGGACCGCCGAATAGAGGCAATTGCACGCACCTGCAACTGCCAGTTCCTGCTCACCGACACTGAAAGAGTTAACAAGAATCTGGGCTGTCAAAAACTCGTCTACATTCTCTCCAACACACGAGCTGATCTGGAGAAGTGTAGAGGCATTCTTGACGACAAGTTTCCCGCCTTCTATGCCAAGTCTTCAGAAGTGGTTCACCGACAGGCGCTAACGTAGCACCAACGCTGATGTAGACAAGGCGAGATTGTACATAACCCGAGACAGCTTCATGCATCTGTGCCACATTTTGCTATTGAAATGACATCATCAAATGAAATATCTATTCGCAATTAAAGCCCTTCCAAGTCAGGTGGGTCAGGTGATAGACGAAAGCCCAAGCAAGTTTATTCGGTCAAAGGGCTCGAATGACCATTTGGCCTTAGTTGGTAATACTTATTTCTGACCTACCGTGGACACTCCTGCAAACTGTGAGATTGTTTAAGGTACGGTTGCGATTATCACCTTTTTTGGCATCTCAGCACAATCCGTTTATTATGCAAATGGACAATCTGATGTATGCAAATAGTGGTTTCCTCTAGTGCGTTTGCGCGGCCTCATTATCGAGATCAGAGAAGGAGCAGGGAGAGAGGGTGGCAGGGACAATCTCAACGCACTGCATTTTGGAGGAAAACAATTTTCTAGGAACTTAGATGTGACCTTACCAGTAAGGCTTCCAGAACACTTTAGGAGTTGATACAGTTGTGAGGACGGTGATGCTGTTTAACAGACCTTTTCTAATAATGATTCAGCCGATATTTACCACCTCCTCCATTATAAGGAAAACTAAGACCCTGCATTTAATTGCGAAGGGCAAAGGACAACTTGGACCAGTGCTGCCCTACTTTTGGCAGTAACTGATCCTTTTTCTGACAAGGATAATCAACCTGCGGAAGCGTCGTCACAGCATCAAACAACCGTAGCTACAGAGGGTTTACAACGACTGGACGCAGAAACCAAGACGTCTGCTTTAAGTTATCCCACAGCCAGTCCTTCAATGGTGCTGGATGCTAACACAGAACAATGGTGTTTCATTGCCTAGAACCACTCTAAGTTGGCTGCCTAACCGCGAAACGTGATGATATCTAGAGAACATAGTCTTGAGTTCTTAAATCACCGGAGTACTTGTTTAGGTCTTACTTTCACCATAAAGCCTGTCAGAATTGATCATTTAGAGCCATAGCGATTGCATGACCCAAAGGGTAACACCGAAAATGGCGCCGTTCTTGAGCCTTTTCGTTTTCTTGCCCCTTTCGTTGCAGGCGGTGAGAAATTTATCCGTCAAGAGCAAGGATCTCTATTGCATCCCCTTACCCATGTACTTAGGGGTAAGTCATGAATGGAGCCGACCGTAACACTCATTAATACGGTGCTTGAGTTATCGCCAAGGCAACTAAAAAAAATAAAAGGCTTTAAATGAGAAGAAACACTAGTAGCTGGGTGTAGGGAGGGCCTTAGCCTGTAGACTTGCCAATCACATTTCAATAGCCTCGGGATGGTCATCTCGGAAATCACTTGACATTTTGAATACACGTCCAGCAGACAAACTTCCCCCGCTTACTCTGCTAATTGTGAGCGGATATACGAAGTGTGGTGGATAGATGGCACTTGTCAGCATGGAGGAATTTCCAAGCTTGACGAAGGGCTGGCACCTAAGCTCATCTCTCTTAAATTAAATGTGGAAATTATTCAGTCCACCTAAATAAACTACGAAATAGTGTAATTTTTTTTAACAACCTATGTCCATCCGGCAAGAAGTAAAGTCTATATCTTTAATACCATTTCCATTTTTTAGTCTCATAGAAGATTGAAATCAAATGGAAGCCAGTCGTGGACGTGAGTGTATTCGCTACGGTGACTGTAAACCGTCTTATGATGGGAAAAAAGAGGACACATTCCTTTACCCACACGCAGCTGTTAAGATAATCCCGCAATTCTTCGCGTGCAATGGTACTGATAAACCAATTCAGTAGTCAAAAATTTCAGCAAATCAGGCTAAGTCTCTAAAATCTGGTTAACTTTCCACTGCAACATATGTAACACCTTCCTCGCCCTCCTTCAGACTTGCAAAAATTCACAAAGCTATCATATGTAAGAGACTATGCTGCCCAGAGAAATTATATCAAGTAACCGCGAAACAAGGACGAAAGGTTAAACAAGCAATCAAAGCACCATCTGCCAAAAAGAGTCGAGAATTTCAAGCAGTCGACCACTTTATCCATGTCAATATCATTCCAATCATCATAGCGAAAAAAGAGTATGAATTCGAGATTTTCTACAAGTGTTAAAGCTTGTGGCTTAATCGGCCACCTTTGGGAGCCCAGGAGGCAAATCCGCCTTCGGTCCTGACCTCAAGCATTGGCTATATGCAGAGATGAGTACCGAAGTGATCAAATTTTACCGTCTTAACAAAGGCGTCGGTAACTGCTGCACGGAAGATAGAATCGATTTCCTCCATCACACTGCATTCTCGACGGTAAGGCGGATTTCGTAATCCTTGCCAAAAAGGGTTACAAGATATCGTGAGCCATTCCTTCGAAATGCTCATTGAACAGGTGACACCTCTTGCATTTCTCGACTTCATAGACGCTCTCATGACAAGCATATTCAAAAAGCACGACGAATTCGGGGAGATCGGTGCAGAAAGCTGACACTGACAATGAATGAGCTGTTGAAATGTAACTACGCCTGAAAGTGATAGGACGGCTTTGAAGTACTCCGCGATAGCTACTTTTGGATATGCAACAAGAGGGTTGCATTAAGACAGGCTTGAAATACAACTCATTGGATGAAACTGAGGTGTTGTCTATTTGATAATCTACTGACAGTATCATCCAACACAAGGAAGGCTTGATTGGTGAAAATGAGACTATGTCGACATATAAACAACTGATCACACGCCACGGGCACAGAAACTTCTGAGAGAACCCTATAACCCAGACCATCCTGGCAACTTCAAGCTGTATGAACCCGATCCTATCGTAAACACTGTCAGCAGAAGCACAAAGTTGTCTAGTGTTTCACCTCTCATAGAAGGAGATTTCCACATAATTGGGGATTGATGACACTTGGTAAACATCAAGGAGTGGAAACAAACAAACAAACAAAACAAACAAACAAAAGTAAGAATGTTGCTTTCCGTCAACTGCTAACACCACAGAGAAGCAAAAGAATCAAAGTGACTCCCATCCTCCCTATTTAGTGCCATCCATAAATCGCACTTCCTTTTAAGATAAAATGAGGAAGGGCTTAGATGTGATTGTTACTTTCGTAGAAAATAACAAACACACTCGGGAGAGACAAAATCGGTAAGTAGGAGCTAGGAGTTGGTGGCGGTGGTGACGGTGATGCTGCTATTTACTGGCAGGGGGTAGAGGCGCAGGCATATCGACTTGAAGGGAGCAAAGAAACGCACCCAACTTCGCTGAAACGATGACGACCTTAAAAGGAGGGAAAACGACGTGTCACCATTCACTACGAGAAAACAGAAAATTTGACCAACGAGCCTATCTTTAACAGTGAATTAAAACAATTTCCCAAAAAGGGCAAAATTGGTGGCTCAAATAGCACGGAGTTCAATCAAATCACACAAAGTACACCGCATCAGTTAGCTCAACTTCGCATCAATGGACTCTTCAGTCCGTACTTGAAGTTATACTTAAACAACAATCGTACTTTGCCGGAGGTAGAATTCGTAGAGTTTCATCGAAGGCAGTGAGAAAACTGGAGAACTCCTGGTAGGTCCATTGGGCACTCACCACAATCTCGATCACCTAAAGACGTGGAATTCGAAGGAAAACAATTTCTGTCAGCATAGATACAAAAGGGGAGGAGGGGAGGAAGGAGATCAACCCAAACCTTTTCCATGATGTCCAGGAAGAGGTCGCGCACCTCCTTCGCGTGCGACAATCCCGTTGCAATAGTTGTGATGGCTTTGGAGAGAGTCTGTGACGCAATGTGAGGGGATTATGTATATAAGAAGGACGCGAAAGCAATATCAATGAGTTATCTAAAGACGCACCTTAAAGTTGAACTCAATCCAATTCAGACAGGAGTCCGAGACTGTGGAAGATACTTGACGAATTACAAGGCTGAAAGAACGGCACAAATTGGTTTACAGTTTTTACAGTGTTCTGATGAGTGTCAGTTACCTCTTATGCCGCTCAAAATAGGTTTGCTTCTCTGTCAGTAGTTTGAGGACCTTGAGTTCGGTGCAGAAGCCAAAATCGAGTTCTAAGTCCACTGGGGAGTCCAACTTGTTCTCCAGATTGTCTGTGACCGTCCAGTAGGTCATCAGTTGCTCCGCGCAGTACGTGAAGTCGGCAAAGGTGGCACCAGAAAAGCAGCGCTTCGAAGTTTCAAAACTATACAGAAGGAAAACAGGCAGTCGTTCGCAGTTTTTCGGGTATATGAGTATTCGTTCTCGAGCAGAAATCGTAAAATATGGTTTCGCGGTATGCGTATGATTGTAGTACCCAAGTCAATGGCCAGAAAACCCTCTCATAAGCTGATAACAAAGCTGCTTCCAGATTCACACCATTTCTAGTGACTTAAAAAATAGTAACACTTCACAGATTATGAACATCGCATTTAGGAAGAAGAGGAGAAAGTCTCCTGTGGATACCTTAAAAGGCATCAACTTTTGAATGGAAGGGGCAGCTCAGTGAAGTCAACTTAATTAAAAAATATTGTCAAACAGTTACACTATGAATCAAATATTTCCACACCAAGAGCACATGCTGCAGGAAAAGAGACCTGTCTACAGCAAAAAATCATGATAAGCGAGTTGGAGTGCGGCAGATTAGCCTATTAGAAGCTATGGGAGGCACGGTGACTATTGAAGTCAGCAAGAACTTCGTTATCTGTAAAAAATGAGTTTGCATTGGCACATGAGATGGAAAACGAGATGTAACTCACTGCACGGTGATATCGAGATAAAATTATGCAGTATTACAACCATGTAAAATGATTGGATGAGAACCACCATGAGAATAAAGTAGAGGCCAGTGAAAAAAAACGTTTCAGAGGGGAGTGCTAAAACAATTTAATTTGAAATATTTCTGAACATATTTCGTTGAATGACTGAAGTAAAAGTAGTTAGCTAGTTCATTAGGATGTTGCAGAGACGTCCAAAAGGGGCTTAGGGAACAAACTTCACTCCGGTAGGGGCATTTTTAAGCTGACTGAAAGAAGATCGCAGAGCTGAAAATATAGATAGTTTGCTGTCTCAGTTGTAGTGCGTCTCAAAGGTCATGAATTGCTTTCGAGCACCACACAGACATGCATATTGTCCACTGCGAAACGATGCTCAACGGTAATGCCTGTGCACGCATATGGATGGACCTTGGAGTTCCTTACCCTGGGTTTCAAGGCTTGAGATAGGACAAAACATTCCTTTTCGGTCACATCGTGGCCTTGTGGATCAGTTGCTTACCTTATTAACATCCAATTGAACCCCAGTCCTCCACTTTTTAACGCTTGTGATGATTGAAAAACGAATGCTAATAAATCATAGAGAAACGCGTTTCCCATCGAAGGCAACGCGCAGTCCAAGAAATGTTTTTTGTACAGAGGCATGACCACAGATGATCCACCCATACTAATTATGTACAATCCGACAAGGAAGACAAGCAGTCGAATACGCCACTAGGCTAAAAAGAAAATTAAGAAATCCGCATTCGTAACTGCGTAGACTTACGAACCATAGCTTTTTAAGATTTTAGGTGAAAAATTTGCGTACGCTGCGTTGAATAAAAAGGCTGAAGGAAACGAAAGCCAAGCTTTTGGAGGAGATAGACGTGTACAAAACCATACGAACTGTGAAAACTAGGGAACTGGGTGTGGTCGTAAAACAAAAAACTAGAACAGTAAAAACAGTGCGGAATGAGACGAAAAAGCGTACCGATTAACCGAGAGGAAGATCATCGCAGCATAGAGCTCAGCAAGCGCAGGAGGTAGAGCGAAAGAGCGGCGAATAATGTCGCACAAATGACCGGGCGTATCCTCCACCAGTCTTGCGACACGACGAAGGTTCTCGTATTGACGACGACAACTGCGCAACCGAAGGCCACACCGCTCCGCAATGTCGGCAAGATCACGACGAAAGCGTGCAGATAGCTTGCTGCCGAGAAGTTCACGACACAGCGCATCTTCCAAAGAGTAGTAGCTGCAGAATGAGTTCGTCAATTTAACCATTACAGAGGTCAGTATACGAGGTGGGTGAACCATACCAGCTCACCGTTCAATAAGTTTTCGACGCAGCTTCCAGTCACCAAAGCAAGTAAAGGAACTTGTGAGGAATACGTCAGGCCGAGTCAGCAAGGACTCAAGGAGAGAAAATTGGGCATACTGATCAGCGACAAAGGTTACCAAGAGGTCGGAAGAGAGGCCGAACGCTTCCACATCCGACTGCGATTGCAGCTTTCGAGTGGTCTCCTCGACTTAGATGGGTGTGCGTCCAATTAAATGAACAACAGCTATGCAGTAGCGTTTACCCTATACACTGCTTTATTTTAAATAATAGCAGCAAAAAAAGTCATAGCATAAAAAGTGCGACAGAATGTATAAACATGAAAATTGGAAATCTATGCAAGTAATAGTAGGAAAATATACACTCAAATTCTTGACACCCAATTAAGCATAAAAGCAAGGGTTGGTAAAGAGGACACACGCAAATAAGCGTCATCTGGGAATATTTGTCAAACTAAAATTTGAGGGTTACCTGCTAGACCATCGATCCAAAACTCAAAAACGTCTTCGTTAAAAACAAAAGGGATACTGCAAAAAACATCAAATAATTCCGCCCCCATACTACGCACACTACGACAACTATCCCGCTGCTGACCGGGCTGAAAAACATGTGCATCAACAGAAAGAAAATTACATCAAGTATGTTGCAAACTGAATGGAGCTTAATTTGTGCTCCTCAAGTGGCATTTGTATGCGCAACAATTAAGAGCAAGTGATTACGCGAAGCAAATGCTGGCGTTATAGAGATCCGCGGGGAGCAGAAATGTGTTAATTTCATTCACCTTCCGGTATTTTCCATCGACACCCCTATGTATTTGCCTGGAGTCAGCAAACTAGTACCATGATTTAACCGCTCGCTGATAACAGCAACTCATTCCATCTGTGGATCTATTACCCCACCCAAATTTTCATACTGTTGATATCAGTCTATAGAATCAAGCTTTCTTTATTCGAATGCCTATACTAGAAGCAGTCACTTTGGCTTACAGTCCGGTTCTGTCGCGTAGGTTGGCCTTCGAGCTTGGGCTACAGACTAACAACTACACTTCAGCCTGAGTATGCGCATTCAGTTATGCTCAATGCGTTCCACCACCAAGCAGAAAGTATAACGCTGTTATACCCAGTTCTTTAATTCTACTGAATCTGCAGGACAAGAGGAAGCGTATTTGTTAGTAGTACGAATCTAATTAGTTTGAAGGGAAAGCCTAGTTTGCCTTAGGTCTTGCGTAGCACTGTGTCTGTGTGACCGCCTTATGTTTGCCGAACAAAACACAAACTGTATTTAAAAAGTAGAGGAATGATCACTTCGCGAGCTCCTTAATCCTTGGGGATAGGTGTTAAAACATTCCACATTTGAGCAAATTCTTGCAATTTGGAACCCGCTGTAGCATAAATGTCTTCATCATCTTGGCATTCGATCAATGACCTTCATGCGATCTCCATCTCGGAGCCACAGGCTATCAATCTCACCAAGCGTAGTGACGATGGATTTGATGACTTGGAATCAAAGGTACTAAGTTAATGAATGAGAGGTGTATCATTGAAGTTCAGAATCGTGCTGAAGTAAAGACCATGACTGTGTATGCCCCGTCAGTGCTGTTGTGTCAGTGTTTTATTGCTGGGTGTGACTGATTAATACTGTCATTATACCACAGAACATGGCTTGTCGCCGCCTCTTCAGTTCTTCTCCTCTATGCGAATGGATTAATGCTATTAGCACTGCATTGTCTATAACCTTGCAACCAATTCGACTGGAGAAACAATCAAATCTAAAGTCAGCCAATAGGGTGTATGCTCCGGTAAACAGTGCATGTGCTGCGACTGTGGACCACAGCGATCGAAACGCACAGTGGCTTTCCTTCCGGCCTAGACGATAATGCACGTTGCTATTGTACGTTTACTTAGCATATCTTTATTCTCTTTTTACAAAACTTTCGTTGTTAAAACACTATTTAGTCGTTGAATGGCGTTAGGCTTATACAGAATAAGGATCCAACACTGAAGAGAAGACACTGCACATTATTGTGGTTAGACATGTACGCAAGGTAACTTGTTTTTTTGGAGGGAGAGAAGCAGATGGACGGTTTTATAGTTATGATGTCAGATACTTATAATTTTAGTCCAGTCTATGTGCAATTATTATTCTGCAGGCACATGCACTTATTAAAAACGCCGAATAGGAATATTAAGCTCACTGTTTTTGGAGTTAGATGTGTAAACTAAATATCGATCTTATTTTCCACACTAAGATTGTCACTTAACATTCCTGTGCTACTTTCATGTTCACTGCAGGTTACGGGTGCTAACAAAGGGATTGGAAATGGAATTGTGGAGCTACTGGCTCGAGGTTTGAAACCAACTTCCGAGTGGCACGTCTACCTGACTGCGCGAAACGAGAAGCTGGGTTTGGAGGCCGTGAAGGTGCTTGAGGAGAAGGGTCTGAGCGTGAAGTTCCACCAACTGGACATCACAGATGCAGAGAGTCGACACAGGCTGGCCGCGTTCATCAAGGAGAACTATGCGGAGGGGATAGATATTCTGGTGAATAATGCTGGGATCGCTTACAAAGTGGGTGCGCACACGACTTCTCACACTGGCATGTAGGTGGACTCCACTGCTCCGTTCGGCGAGCAAGCGAAAGTCACTATTGCTACAAACTACACGGCCAATGTACAAATGTGTGTGGAGTTCTTGCCACTGATGGCGAAGGATTCAAGGTAAGACAAGGCATGTGGACGCGACATTTTCTCTTACAGACTTGTTAATGTGGCTAGTACTATGGCAATTATGTCGTTGCGAGCAATGTCGAAGGAGATGGCAGCCAAATTCAAAGGTCAATTGTCCCTACAAGAGCTGGATGAACTCCTAGCATCTTTTATTAGGCACGTTGTGTTGTTATTCTTTTTACTTTGCTTCATTTGTTTGCGCTCTTGCACAGGAGATCAGTCTCTTGACTCTATTAATGGTGGTCACTATGCGTTGATGATTATGTGTGGTTGCTTTTATTACATTAAGACATGCAGAAGCGGGAGATCATGAAAAGGCAGGCTTTTCTAACTCCGCGTATGGAATGTCAAAGGTTGGCTTGTGGAAAGCTACTGCTATTTTGGCTGAACAATTCAGAGGTGATCCTCGTCACATTCTCATAAATTCGGTAGGTCTTTGTCATTGATTTTGGTAAAAATTTGTCATTGAGATTGTAAACTTTTTACCCCTTCTTAAGTGTTGTCCTGGTTATGTTAATACGGACATGTCAAGTCACAAGGGCCACAAGACCATATTAGAAGGTACGTTTGCCTTGAAATGGCCTTTGAATGTCATTATCGTGATTGACCGCTACTCTAACCTCCAGCTGGCGAAAGTTAAGGTATCGGTTGAACTATTTGCGAGTCATTCAACCAAGTTGAATTATAGACGTATTATACTGTTGATGCTGATTCCACGTGTTCTTTTAGGTGCCGACACACCTGTTTATCTTGCTACATTGCCGAAGGGCGCTACTGAACCCTACGGCCAGTTCGTCAGGGAACGCTGCGTTGTCGATGTGGACAAGGAGTGTCCACTTTGAGCAGCTCCACTTCAATCTGTTAAGCAAACATATTATGGTGCCGTTTTCATCTCTATCTTTTCTTAGAAGTTGAAATTGTTGATCGTTGCCTTCTCTCACTCATGAAAGTGTCAATTTAAGTGTCTTTAGTGGACGATTGTGTCTACGACATTGCTTCCTGTCAATGTTGTACAGGTCGTAAGAGTGCTCCGGTCTTGATGATGGTGGGCATAGTTAGTGTCTGTAAATTGTTTGCGCATCGCTCCATCGCCTAGGGAAGTTTGATCTCCTGCATGCATTGGTGGTTTCGTCGAGTTGATCCCTAGCCACTGTGTACTCTCTGCTGACTACCAACACGAGATATTTTGCATGAAGGTGGAATATATGCTTTGTCGTCATTGAGAGCTCATGTGTACTTTTAGACTGACACCGAGGTTTTCAGTAGTAAAGGATCCACTGCCACGATCGCGGGGAGGTCGGTAGGTGCTAAAGGCCGTCATTTCAGTTCCCTTCGTTTTCATGTAGTTGGAGGGACAGAGTGGCAAATTAGACACTATTTTAGGTTTGAGAGGCCCAGACTAAGGAGTGGGTAGTGCAAAGATTTGTTTGAGAGGTCGTGTTTACCGAGTTTGTTGGGATTCCTCAAAGTTATTGCAGTTGCACAGGCTACTCCTATGCGCTACATCAATGAGTTGAGTAGTGTTGAAGCAGCAAATGTGAGGAAAGCTGTTTCAAGTGACCTGCAAACGGATAGGTAGTAAGGACTGAAAAAGGGTACAAGACGCGGTAACTACTCTGGGGAGGATGTCAACAACTGACGTTCGCAACGTACAGTAGCAGCAGCAGAAATCGACATCACTTGACATAAGCCGGTGAAATACGTGACACCTCATTAAACGAGGCAATGCTAGATGGGGTCGATATTGCCACGTCCATGGGGGTGACGTCTTGTTTTGTATCCTTCATTCCACTCGCGCCTCCTCACTTCTCATTCACTTTTCCACCAAAGATTAACTGATAGTATTGGTTTTTTAATGAAAAAAGTATTTTAAATACTAGACATTGGAATCAGGTGAGCAAACCTCGATGATGTACTCATTTCCATCATCTTTAGCAAATAGAAGAAAGTGGTTTCTCATGTGTTTGAAATGTCACAGTTTGTTCAAGGGATAGTTGGGACCGTGCCGTCATGGCAGTTGCCACCATCTCTGCGCTATGCATTAAAGGTATTTAAAAATAACGTCCAGATGTTGAAAGAAATCCAACAGTGAACAGTGGCTCCTATTATCTCATAAACAACCTTCGGCATCGCCTCCAGTCATTCCAACCCAAGTGTGAGACTGTGGTCGATGTTTGGTAAAGGCCTGTCAACAGAAAAGTAGAAACAAACAGTCGAAATGAAACAGATTTTTGAGGCAGAGACAGAAGAATGGTCCAGAGGGAACAGATGTAGTCTTTATAAGACTTGAGTTTGGTTACTTCTTCCACTCCTCTGAAGGGATGGCAGTGAAATGACCCGCGGTGGTATTGCATCGAGTTGTGATGAACACCAAATCAAACCACAAATGTTGTGAGACGCAGTAACTTCCCAAACAAAACAATGAGCAAAGTGTTGGGATCAAGGCGAGTCGAAGGCATGGAATCGTCCATTTCTCCCCATTTTAAAGTCCCTCACTATCATAATTCACTTTCTTGAATTACCAAGAGGAAGGAAAATAGCACAACCACCTTTTGCTACCTGTAAAAAAGGAATTTTTCATTACGAGCATTACTGTCGATCTCTTAGCTGTAACTGCATTTACTTCTGTGTAGTTGGCGATGCGTGTGGCTAAACGTTGTTGCTGTTTGTCATTTGGAACTGCTGCTGAGTTGGGCAATCCCCGCATCACCAAGACGCCACAATAGCTGGCGTGGACTGGCGCTCAATTTCTGGATCGGACTAAGCAATGAGTTGTCGCCTTAAGCGTAGGAAATTGGGATGATCTTAGTATTAACCAAGACCGATGCAAAAAGGGGTTGAAGTTAAAAGAGATGTCTTAGTGAAGGAATCCATGGAGCCAAAATGCTAGCAAAACTGAGGGCCTGATGTCATCGAACCTTTCACTTTCACTTCACAGACCATCTTGCGAGTTCTTTCCCGGTCTCCACTTCATTGTCACCTTTGGAGTAGGTTTGCCAAAAATTGAGCCACTAGAATCGTCACTTGTAAACCACCTTCAGGTCTGTGTAAATTTTTTTCTGCAATGGAAAAGGCTTTAACAAAGTCTCTCTTTGCTGTGGTCTCCTATTCGTAGATCTGACAGTAGAGTCCGGGCTGCAAAACAGTTTGACATATCAATTCCCACGCTGTTCTCCAACATTCTGTCTGTGGGCGCTTCTTGACGAAGAATAGTGGAAGCCAAGCCAACAGATATGCTTTACTCCGTCACCCCTTTCTTCCTCTTGCTGCATAGCTTTAGTTTTCTGTCGCAAGAAAAAAAAGCTGTAAATTCGTGTTCATCTGGAACACAACCACGCAAACGTGAGTGGTTTGATACTTCCTTTCCAATGTTTTTTTTAACTCAGGAAGACTCTTAAGGGCAACTTTATGTGCAGGTAATCGAACGTCGGTGTAAAAGCCCTTTATAACCTCGCAAGCCCTCGTAGAGTAAAAGAGAATAAAGAAAGTTAAATTTTGTTCAATTTTAGTACTCGGAGGCATGTGAAATGCATCCGTGCCGCATGCCAATTTGACAGACCCATTGGGGGAGCGAGGCAACCACAACTACGAGGCGGCACTTCTCCACATTCCCACGCAAATAACACTGCTGCTGAAATTATTGAAACACTTGGCGGTGTCCGTGTGGCTACCTTCCCAAAATGCATTCATGCAGCATCTTATGGCAAGAGAACGGCTGCTGTCGCATCGACGTCAACACCACGTCCCTCGCCGCCTTCGCTTGTGTAGGGGAAGACGGGGGAGACATCACGTGACAGGTGGAGTGGGTGAGTTACTGTCGCTTTTGTCGGCAATGTGTCAAGTGAGTTATGAATAGTGGACTCTTGATGTAGCAATTAACTTCCATTTGACAGCCACAATAAAGTTCACAGGAGTGTCTGCCGGGTCTGCCCAAACCCATGAAAATGGGTGTTGCAAGCCGACCACCACAGGTGAGCTGAACGTTAAGCCACGCGATCGCATCCGTGCCCACTCTACAGTGGAAGGTGGTGATGGTTAGTTCAACCTCAGGTTCCATGATTCTCATTTGGAGAGCTTACAAGCACAATGTCATCATGGCTATGCATGTAAGGAAACAAGCCGAGACACTCTTTCCCTTTTTTCGTGTGTAGCATGAAAATTTTTCACCTCGTGTGGAAGCAGAGGAGGTGCTTGGAATTGCAGTAGATCACTCGTGCTAATTTGGCGTCGATAACTACGACTTGGAAGCACTTTGTCGAGTATCCATCAATTCGATTGTTTGGTTGAATAGTTTGCAGTTGTTGGTGAGGAGAACTTCGACTCGACCTCTCTGCGTCTAGATTTAGACGTCGTCTTGACACTTTGGGATGGGAAGAAATGGAAGGAGTGGATGGAGTGTTCGCCAAGTAGGGAGACTGAAGACACTGTTGATGTCTTCTTTGCCGTGTGTCCATGCGGAGCTGATTAGAGTGGATGGTCGGTGGGGTGTCACGTCTCCGCAATCATCGAAGTGTGTGGAGGTGACGCCTTGCCATTCGGACACAATGCGACCTTCACTCGACGTCGGCGTGGTCGGTGGTGCCGTCATAGGGTGTAAACAAGGCATGGGTTGCATTTGTTTACTTGCAATCCAACTCGACAACCCCATGAATGCAATGCCAAAAGGCCCTTAATGATGTTCTGTCACGTGCATGGTTTTGCTACTCCATTTTATTGCTCTACAGGCAACAATTTGGATAAGCAATCCAATCTCACTTGTCACTTGGATAACAAAAGATGATGCAGTTGACACTAAGAAGTGTCTTGACGGGGAAATAGGGTAGAGAACAACCAAAACGCGTGACATGCCTTACTCAAGCCTTCATGTTTTCCTACATCACCCCATACTTACGTCTTAAAGTATACTTTGTAATACTTGTTGGAATATGTTCCTTTCATGTGTGAAATGGCTCAAAATGCTGGCAATGCAGATGCTAAAGGCGATGTGATACGCCTTTGACGCTATTTGGAGTTGGGTCTTATTACTGTATAGGCAAAATGCACCCAGTAACCAGCATTTCTGGCACAAACACCTCTTGTCATTTAATTGTTGAAAGATGTAGAATTAGAATTTACAGCTAGGTAGGCAGATGAAATTAGCACACCAAGGCCGAGTCAGTCAAGGGATGCCTAAGCAGAGGGTGTGGCAGCCGATGTAATCCTTTTTTAGGTCTGTAGACAACAGGTCCACGGGACAGAGAAGGGTTTTATACGCAAAACAGTGCAAGAGCTCTTTGGTTGCTGTGACAGTACTGAGGGAATGAAAGTATATGTTTGGAAGTTGAAGTAATCTTGCATGCTTTCGAGGGCATCATCCCCTTCACTGCTTGTCTTCATCCGTTCTCTCGATGCACTTAGATTTGACTACCATCTGGGCTGGAGCTAATGCAGCTGGTCCAGCTTGCAAGGCACTATGCAGTCTTCCTCATTTAAAGATTGGATGCTTTCCTTTATAGAGTGCTATTTTTACGGAACTGGAAACTTTACTTAAAGCAATGAGTTACTGAGCTTGTACTACTCTGCCCCGGTGAAAATATAACGAAGTATGGCTTTTGCATTTCGCTGTATGGTAAAAAAAATGGGAGGTTTCAACGAAAAAATGTGCTTGATTTTGGAGTTATTCACTCCTGAACTTCAGTTTGCGAGCTCTAAATGTCTCGGATTGTTTAAGATCTGATGAATTAAATCTCCATATCTACATGCAGCTTGACCAATGCTGACCACCCATAAACATATATCATTCATGAATTATGTGCTACTACGTATATTTAAGTAGGTAATATTTAATGGTTGCAATAAGACTTAAGAGGTGCGATTTAAGGCATTGTTTTGGAAGAATTGTAGTGGCAACCCACTAATCATTGTTGACTTAGTCACAGTTGCTTAGTGCTTCCTTTTTGTATCTAGTTTTTAAAGCAAGAAATCCCTGCGACATCTGTGTCTTCCCAGTGATGAGTGAGAAGCACTGAGCACTCACTACCAAATGATTTTACTTTACCGTCATGAAATCATTTATTCTAACAGTTTGATGCAGAAGTAAGGTACTACATGAAATTTTTTAATTAGAGAACATGTGATACACCATAAAATCGCTCGGACTTGCTCAGACAACTCCATCAATGCAGCTGTAACTATTTCGTTCCCTTTTCTACCAAGGCTTAGATGAACGGAGCTATTTCTAAAATCAAAACAATCAGTAACTGCTTCCCTTGCTCCTCTCCTTGCCAACCTCATCTCAAGGAATATCAAGTAAGACACGATGTACTACTGATTGACTCGAACTAGTCAGTCGAGACATTTGGGAAATCTCTCAATTGGCAACTCTTGCCACCTATTATTGTGCCATTGCTGACTATTTTTAGATAAACTCAGGCATTCAAATGTGACCAAGTGCATTTGCTTCAGGTCACTAGGTATCCAGTTGAGCGTTTCTTGCCTTTTAATGCTGACATGTAACCTTTCCCCACAAGTTGTTCGTGTATTAGGACTCACTTTTCAGATAAGTAAATGATTACGTACAGAGGCGGGTTATGACGAGTGTATCACCACAGCTCGTGGGAAAACAAGAAAACCAATCAACCCCACTGTTTACAATGTTCCACCGCTTCCAGTACTTTGTGATTGATGCAAAATCGACAAGACCGCATCACATTTCATTTAAAAGAAAGTATCCATGATGAGGCCGCAAATTAAGGAAGAAACAATAAAGGAAGTGCATCGGTAATTACAATCAATTGCACGCGCCTTTCACGCTCCAGCATGCCGTGAGGCTAATCATGTGACCTGTGCTAAAAAGTAGAATTCACCTTTTGGTGACCTGATGAACGTAGACATAGGGTAGATTGGTCTCTTACTTGCTACGGGTCAGGAGGTCGATAAACTCCAAAGGCAACGTAAAAATGTGCAAGACACAGCCCGACAAAATGCCTACCCCATAACTATGCATTCCGCGGCCGATGTATTGGCAACAGACACACTTCAGGTACGCTTGAACCACGACGATAACAGAATTAGCAATATTCTCTCATTCAGATACTTAGTCTGTCTTTCCACAGAAAAGAGAAGACGAGGACTTGAGACTGCAATTTTCTTAGAAAAAACAGGGAGACGATTTGAAATATGAGCATGTGTGAGTTGAGGGAGTCACACTGGCTCAAACAACATCGATAACTTGGCGTTCGCTGACGAACCGACCGTAGGGTTCAGTCGCGCCCTTTGGCAGGGTGGCGAGATAGACCGGCGTGTCAGCGCCTAAAAGGACGGGTGGAATAAACATCAGTGATAGAATATGCCCACCTGTGTGTCCTGCGCCATCTCGACTCTAATACACGAGATAGGCTCGCACAGTATCACAAGCTTCAATCACCAGGACAATCAGAAAGTTTCACGGGAGGACAAAGTAAATGCTTAGTTGAAACATTCTCAGTCAAAGAAGGCCTCGGTTGACTGTCAAAACAAACCTTCCAAGATGGTTTTGAGACCCTTGTGGTTTGTCATATCCGTGCTTACATACCCTGGAGAGCACTGAGAAACGTAAAAAAAGGTCGTCAACTTAAGTCTAACTTTTCAGTGGAACGGGTAGCTCCATGAAAGCCTACCGAGTTGATTAGAATGTGACGTGGATCACATTTGAACTCCTCGGAGAGAATAACAGTAGCTTTCCAGAGACCAAGTTTTGACATGCCGTATGGGGAATTTGAAAATCCTACCTTTTTATGGTCTCCTGCTTCCGCATGCCTTAAAGTAATGGAATTGATTATAGACCTGGAGTTGATGTTCTGCATAGCATAAAATTCCCTTAAATGCGAGTCCACATGAATAAAGTACAATAAAAGATCATATCACAACGTGCTTAACGAAAGACGCCATGAGTTCATTCAGTTCCCCAAGAGACAGCTGAGCCCTGAACTTAGCCGCCATCTCATTTGACACTCCACGAAGCGAGAGGAAGTCAACCGTACTTGCGAGATTAACAAGTCTTTAAAAGTAGTAAGGCTGTTAGCTACTCCGCAAACCTTGAATCCTTCGCCATCAGTGGCAAAAACTCGGTACACATTTTTACAGTAGCCGTATAATTCGTAGCAACAGTAACCCTGGCCTGCTCGCCAAATGGAGCTTTTGAGCCAACCTGCATACTAGTGAGAAAAAGAGCGTAAGGGCTCACTTTGTATGCGATTCCAGCATTGTTCACTAAAATATCTATCCCTTCCGGATAGTTGTCTTTGACAAAGTTTGCTAGCTTGTGTCGACTGTCTGCATCTGTGATGTCCAGTTGGTGAAACTTGGTCTTAAGACCCTTGTCCTCAAGCACCTTTACAGCTTCTATACCACTCGCCTCATTTCGCGATGTTAGATAGACGTGCCAGTTGGAAATTGGATTCAAACTTCTAGCCAGTAACTCAACAATCCCATTCCCAATACCTTTATTGGCACCTGTAACCTGGAATACAATTTACGGAACCATCAATTGTACTGTGATTCCGTAGCATTGCCATCTTTTAAAGTACTTACTAAGCGGTCAAACTTACCTCACTTAGGCAGACAAACTTGCGCTTACACTTGACGGCAATGATTACCTACCTTGTAGCGCAAATTTAAAAACTCACAGTGACATGGTAATTGAGCACTAAAGTGTCTTACTCAAACTGTAGCAAAAATTACATAGCAATTATATTCATAATGCAGACAGAGTACTAGCTTTTGTGTTAGCAACATATTCCACATACGAATACGACCAAGGTGGGACCAAATATCAGGTGAAAATTAATGAGGAAGCACTATCGCACAATGTTATAAACTCACAATAGCAACCCGCATGGGCTCCCAATGCAGAAGAGAAGCACCGATGCCCACTCTTGTTGCAGTTTTCCACACCACCGCGACCTTGATCGTTGATAGCAAGGTATGCTCTACTGTTTATTGAGGGTTTGAGACGGTACATGTACGAAATTTGCAAAGCCGTAAAATGTCCTACTTAGGTCAAGAACTGCTTAGTAAGGTTAGATAGAAGACTCGTGACGAAAAATTAGTGCAATCAAAGTTGGCTGATGTAAGGTGACCATTGAAGCTGTATAGATAATTATCTGTTGTTGATCTAATCTTAATATTTTTTGCAGGATTCATGCTTAAGAAATGTTCAATTCGTCTGACGAAAGACGCATTAACAAATATGAAAGCTCAGCGACACAGTGTCCTCAAGCCTACGACTGTGATTGGCTAATCACCGTTAAAGGGAGGCGAGGCTAACTAATTGGTATACGAGGCAAAGGTCATGCAGGTTTTTTGGATCTGCATACATCCGCGAAGGTCTTCCCGCTGCCTGCAATGAAAGTAGCTATTGTATGTTTTATAATGTCGCCTTCTATGCAAATTTGGCGTTATATTTTGCTAAGACATACACACATCTCCATGCTTCCTGTATATTCACATAAATAGCTTTTTACGATAGGCTGGTTGGTTGTATTTTTTGTGGTAGGAAGTACGTACGGTCTTGAATAAATCTGTATCATTAGGGCTATTTCATGGGGGCTATAGTATGGCCAACTCACGCTGTGCCAAGTACTTATTTTGGTGATTTTGTGATAGCTCAATGTAGTAACGGGATGAAAAAATCTTTTTTGGTTTCTGAACATTTGTGGTGTGAATTAGTTGCTTAACTTCTAGCCATCAACTTTCTGGTGCAGTGGTTACTACACGTTGCTAATTCTTCCTCATGTTATCACTTATCGACAGGCACAAGAGTGGATTTGGAGGGCTTGCATTCTTATTAAGCAAAACCAATTGATATGAGTGGATAGTGTCCCGTAGGGAACATGATTCTGCTGTTCTATAGGGTTCTAATACGTTGCTTGTTGTGGAGGCAATTTTTCAAAAAGTGTTGTTTGTTTCCCGTTTGATGAACTGTGGGAATTTTTAGTCGTAAGTAGTCCAATTAGGAAGTGTCACTCCAACAATTTTGTCGTCAACTCCTCTCTTAATTGCGACACGCTAATCTATTTGGTGTGGAGCTTTCTGTGTGAAATTTTAGCCACAACCTTTCATGCTAACATTTTGTATTGACTAAATACTGTTCGTTCAGTAACGATAGGCATATAGTAGTTTTATGGTTAAGCTGAGATAGAATTGGGTCAATATTTTCATGCAAAATTAAAGAAGTAACATAACAAAACATTAACTGCAGATTACAGGAGCCAATCGAGGCATCGGAAAGGGACTGGTAGAACGCTTTGCCCGCGAACTCAAGCCTTCCTCTGACTGGCACATCTTCCTGACAGCACGGAACGAGAAACTTGGTCTAGAGGCAGTTAAATCCCTCGAGGAGAAGGGCCTCTTCGTTAAGTTCCACCAATTAGACATCACTGATTCAGGGAGTCGCGGACGACTGGTGCAGTTTATTGAAAAAAACTACCCGGATGGGATACACATTCTTGTCAACAATGCTGGCATTCTCAATGATGTAAGACTATTGAGCAGGATATTTCATTATCTTGCAGTTGATCTAATGGGATTGCGCAATTTCCGACCTTGAAACCTAGTTAGGCTCGATTCAAATCTTACTCATCATTCAACACGCCGTGAATTAAGGATCCAAATTTGTAGAAAAAAATGGAGAGTTGTACTTGTAAATTAAATAGTGCAAATCTCTTATACCGACGTCTTTAAGAAATCGCGTGCACAATTTAATCCCTGAAGGTAATTTTAGTGGACTGTGGTCGGAAGTGGGTAATGTCGCTTCTCTGGTGATCTTATCTATGCCCGCAACTTAAGAGATTTATTTCATGCTTATATAGAGTGGTCCTTCCTCTACGTACGGTGATCGGGCAAAGACTACTATGCTGGTGAACTACACAGGCAACGTAGATATGTGCAAGGAGTTTCTGCCCCTCATGGCAACTGACTCAAGGTAGTAGTGTAAGGCAATTGAGACCGTGACTCTCGCGCGCTTTACCTTCCAGATTGGTGAACATGTGTACTGGTGATCTTGTGTGGGCATTCCAGGGCATTAGTAAGGAGCTCTCGGATCGTTTTAGGCACTCAATGACTTTGGAGGAACTTGATGATATTATGGCGTCTTTCGTGAGGTAATTATCCACGTCAGCATACCTTGTTAATAAAAGCTGGTCACATGATCAAGCCCAATCGTTTCGTTTAGTCACGCACAAAAGGGGGACCACAGGCAGGCCGGTTTCGTTCAATCGGCCTATGGCGTTTCAAAATTGGGCCTCTACAAAGCCACTGTCATTTTGGCTGAACAAATGAAATCAGATCCTCGGCATATTCTTATCAACTGTGTAAGTCTCTTTTTTCAGTAATTAAACCTTTCTTTTTGGGTCCAAAATGTTCTGCTTTACTTTCATTGCATTCTTGCTTTTTTATCTATCCTTGAGGCTCATTTTAGTGGAAACATCCAACACCCTTTGTTCCAGGGATTTCCAGTTTCCCTGCATTATCACGACTGTATTGCTCCTCCCAAAGTTTCGTCACAGGATTTTACATGTTCCAAAGTCCTTTTTTTGGCACTCACCTTCAACCTTCAATGTCCATTTTCTAACTTTCCAGCTTGCCTATAGACAAAGAAGTAGCCACTATCAGCATACTTAATAGTTGTATTCATGGCACTACTTCCGACCTCATTCTGGCTTCCGCGTTATGAATTTCAACGCGCTGGAAGGCCATCTAGATCACTTTTGTGGCATTCTTTGGCACTGTTGAGCACTTACGCTTCCCCCAACATTGGCAAATATGTAAAATTGGGTGGAGGTTGTGAGAATCATCAATCACGTTTTTGTATTTTCTTTTCTCGAGTTAAACTCACTAATAGAAATGTGATGCTTCAGTGTAGCAGTATTTTTTTACAAAGTATGGGGGTGGCGATGGTCCTGACTGCTACCAGGAGCGCGCAAATTTTTGCATTAAATGTAGTTTTATTTAACATTTGTAAGTAGCGTGTGCAGAACTTGTCGCCTTGGGTGATGTGTGATTGACAGTTGGTTTCAATGCACATTAGCTAAAATTAGGCAGGAAGGTTAAGCCATTTGAATTCAAATCTTGTGCGATTTATTCAAGTCACATTTACTTCACCTAAGTTGCGCTGATCACGGTGACCATCAGCCAAACTGTTTGCTTCATCGCTTCCTGATTCTTTCATAATTCCAATTCATGCGCCTTACTAAGTCGGCACTCATCAAGTTGGGGAGAGAGGGGGATTTGGTGGCACCGCAGGAAAGCCTCACCATATTTTAATTAAATTCGTCAAAACGTAGTAGTCGTTTCTTTTTATGCCATCTAGAAAGTGCTTGTTTATCGTCCCCTTGGATCTGGCCTACAGACCATTGACGGATGACTGTTATTCGAAAATTGGCGAATTAAGGAGTGTGATGATGCCAAAGGAAAAAAAATGAGGATCCTTACAAGTTTCTTTCTTTTGTTAGATGATCAAACATTATTGTGAGGTGATGATTCGTGCCAAACATCGGGTTGTTGGCTAATTCTAGTTTACAGAAGTGAGTTTCACGGTTTCACAAATCCTCCGCTTGTTTTAGTGCTGCCCGGGATATGTGAGGACGGACATGACAGGTTATTGCGGCAACAAGACAATCCCTGAGGGTTAGTTTCGCTTTTTTTGCTTCATGTGCTCTCCACTTTTACTTGTTTTCGGTCCGCTCTTTACTCCCAGTCCTTTGCAAAAATCATGGCTAGATAGGTGCATCCTTGCTCTCTAGCCACAGAAACAAACATCCGAGGTTGGAAAAAGATGCCCATTGGTGGCTGAAGGTGGCAGAAATAGAAAGTTAAAAAGTGACGGGGCACGTGACTTTGACAGGTTGTGAAGGTGGGCTCTTTAAACGTGCACAGGTGTGGGTGTTTGTATGTAAGGTTTAAATTACAAATCATTTCTGCAGTCACACACAACTTTTGGTTTAAGAATGACGATGTGGAGTCTTTTATAACAAAGAAATATAGTAGTAGTAGATCTGTTTGCAATCATCTTCCCGGTTTGAGGCTATTTGTCTTTTGTCTTGAACTTCAAGACATCAGTTTTGCACTATCACATTTACAAGGTCATTCTTTAGCAATGCCAATGGGACTTTTAAACGAGCAGTCATAAGTTAAGCGTTTTGATTAAAGTTGAAACTTTATCTTTATTTGAGTGGGGTGCTTCAGTCCAAGTTGAGCTCTGTTTCAGAACTACCACCAATTGACGGTGACTTTGGGTTGTTCTGCTTACTGATTACCATTTAAGTAGTATACATGAGCACTCCTTCCCTGTTTTTGTAGGCGTGGACACACCCTTCTACTTAGCTACCCTACCGGTTGGGTGCACAGAACCCTACGGCGAATTCATCAGCGAACGAAAAGTCGTCGACCTCGATCAACCTTTCTACTTCTAGAATAAGCCAGGGCTACTAATTCTCCTCCCTCTATGCCTTCTGACTTGACAGATGAGACGTGGCACGAAGTCCCTTTATTTCCAATGATTATAATCTAATAACATAACGTCTGCTCATTTCCCAAGCGGCTGGTTGAATGTACGGGGCGTCGGGAGCACAGCATTAGTCCTTATCCACCAAACCGGTCCTAGGAAGGTTCGCCTGCACTTCTTTTGACGACGTAGATATACGCCGATACTCTTCCATTCATTCCTTGCTACTTCGACGGATCTAATTACTTTGGAGGGAGTTGGGGAACTGATCTTGAAAGTCTTCGGCACTGGCGTTCACGTTCGTCGCATTCATCGCTAGTTGTACTACTCTCTTAGTTCAAAACTAAAGTGTTTATCGCCTTGGTGAATATTTGTTGACAATCGCCTTCACTTTATTTGGTCTACCCTTTACTACCCATGTTGCGTTTGGAAGGAATTTATTATGAGGGGGTAAATACATTGGTCTTTGGTTTAAACATCGCCCCTTCCATTGATTTGGTTAAATCAGTTCCTCATAATTTGCTGATACTTCTAATATTCCTGCTTAAGGGTCATCACTTTCGTTAGGTGGTCCTCGCTCAGCCGGCCGTAATGTAACTGCGGCTATCCCAATGAAGAATAATTGGGGTATTAGGATTTCCTTTGCCAATCCAGTAATTCAGCGGAGAGACTGTGAGTCTTGACATCAATTTGCATCCTCGAGTGCGCTAGTCGGCTACTTTACCAGGCCGAAGTCACCTCTCAGTGGGAAATGCAGGATTACTAAGGTCCCCTAAGTCTGCCGATAGTCACATTTTGTCGTTCGAATCTTCAAGCTCGTTAAAGTTTATGGTTCTTCCTAAGCTCTTAGCAATGGATCCAAATCCTATGTGTACAAACTTTGCGCTTTGGATGTAGTCCTCCCGGTGGCTGCCATTCCTCACCACAGGCAGTCTAGTGAATCAAAGCAGACCCGAATCTACATGACCTCTTAGGGTGTTTTTACCTGAATTTTAGCTACCCTGATGTGGTAGATATTTATGCCGGTTTCGCAGGGCTGCATTTTGCCTATCGATCCGAACTTTTGTGCAAGAACTTTTACATCCTCATGATTTTTGTGTAGGAATGTGTGGGGCATTGGCTGTTACGTTCCCGGAAAGAGTTTATTTACTACAATTTCACCCTTTTTTATTCACTACGACATCAACTATCATATAGTCATTTTTCTCCTTTCTGGTAACCGATTTATCGTCTACCGCAAGAATGAGACGTTATAACGCCATAGACTTTTCAGACTTGAACTATCAAAATACCCATAACGACCATCATTTAGTTGGATTCTTTGCCGATGACTATTAAAGGCCGCAAAGGACGCGGTGACATTTCTTCAATATAACTTTCTGCAGCTAATGATACATTATTATGCAGTATTACCAATGATTTGAGGAGAATGCTTCGTTTGAAAGGTTGTGGCACTTATTGTTCCGCTCAACGTCGTGGCAATTCTTCCTTCAACCACTGCACACCACCATAGTCCATTTACAAATGCAAGAGTCGCCCTCAAAACACCTAGCCAACAATGCTCATCCGAAGCAAGAACCAATCAACTAACGGTACATTGGTCGATTCCAATGTCCATTGGATGGCGGCGTCTGCAATGCCTATTGGTTGGTTAGCTCTGTACTCTGGGGTGGAGCACAAATTTGTCTTCTTTTGCAACACCGAAGTGTTTGCTAATCTAGACTCCTTAGGGCAGCTAAACAGATTAGCTGAAAGGTGATGGATACGGACAAAGAATAGGCAATTTCTGATTGACGCGTAGAACTTTCCTTCTTTGAAGTCTCACTGTATGCACTACGTCATATGCTTGGCATACATTTACCGATGCTTGAAGGAGAATCATACGAAGTATTTTCAAAGGCTCTTAAAGAACTCAAGGGACTGGTTTTAATAATGGACTCTTTACTAATTTTTCATTCCTTTTTTGTAACCAAACCTGTCCGATGTCCCATCAATTTGCGAGATTTCAATTGCATCACACATTTAGGTTGAATGTACAAAATCGCCTTGAGACTATCCAGTTGATGAGAGAAATTGTGATAGTCGAGTGGAATAGGCATCGCTAAGGTAGAGAAGAGGCTACTCTCATATTCTGGAGGTCAGAAGACCACAAAAGGCTTCAAAAGTTTCCTCGGTGGCCGATTTCTGAAACCGAATTGACACCACAAAATCCGCCTTTTCTGTTTCTGTAAACCTCCCTTTAAATGTCTCTTTCACTCGCCTCGCTATTGAACATAACGCTCGAAAAGTACTTGTACTTCTTCCTCTGCTCTTATAAAACTGCCCTTTCCTTCTTATACAAAATTGCCAGCCAGAAAACATCACAATTGAATTGCTCTTCCTCCGGTTGGGAGGGAGAAGGAGGCGAAAAGCGCGAGAGGAGCGCCTCTTTTCTTCACGAAAAGCGGTCCTCTTGAAAGTCATCGTCTACCGCACTTGCTTTCTCAGCCGAGAATCGACTTGAATATAGAGCTCTCTCTTTATTTTACAAAAATGAGATAACGTAATAATTCACTGACGCAAAAAGGTAATCATCGCAATGCTATTTCCGGTTATGGAGAAGGGTTGCGCCATTCCAATCCTTTTCAAAAACAAGCGAACAAAGTAACCATAAATGTTGCTTTATGATAAAATACAAAATGTCGTAGGGATAAGATGAGGGAAGAAATATGAGGCTAGCTTTTGATTGAGTTGTTCCCATTTAAAGGCACTGATGAGGCTAACACTGAACTCGGTGGAGCGGTGGCTTCTGGTCTCATCTGAGAGTTGTCCCCACCCTGTCTTTCTTGGTGGACCAATTTTCTCTTTCGTTTCAACTTGCCAGAAATTCGCAGAGTCATGAAGAGACACAGAGCAATGGAAAGCATAAGTACTAAGGCGAGAATGGGCAAAAAGATGGAGATGAAGGAAGGAACATTGCCGCCAGACGCTGTCGTCAAAATCACTGGAGTGGTCGCAGTCCAGGTCTTTCGAGGTCGATAAGTTCGGGACAACTTGAGGGCGTAGCTGTGCCGACACATGTGCTCATCAGAGCATACACCTGGTCGGCACTTGCCTAGAACGACAGAATTATTCGTCTGAGAGGAGTTCCACCAACTCTCGAAGGTCACAATTCCTCCGTGGGATGGTGGACCGGGCAGAATTCGAAGAACACTAATATCAGGCCTTTGAGTGCATTGTGTGCAGATGAATTGGAGAGGACGTCCAAGGCAGCCAATTAGTCGAACGCTCTTGAACGAAGGCCCGAAGGTGATATAGCGATCAAACGTAGAGCCACAGCTCAAAACGAGACTTTCCAATTTGGGAAGTCCTGCCAAACTACAGCCTTCAAGAGCTATTGGAGCTCTCCACGCATGGAAGGTCTTCAAATCTGGTAGACCAGCAAAAGCCAAAGCATCAAGTAGTTTCGCTTGAAGTGGGAGATTTAACTGAAGTTTTACAACTTGACCACCTAATTGAAGCTGACTTAATCCATAAGGTTCTATAGCCATGCCGAGGACTCCAGTCTCTTCTCGGACAGCTGTTACACTGCTAGAGTCACCGATTCGGACAATATCTCCCATGCGTTCGCAGAGCACTAGTCGAAACACCGATCGTGGAAGTTCGCTTGCCTCCGAAGTGCATCGGAGAGTCACAACCATTCCAGAACGACGGTAGCCACAGTAGCAGCTGGCTTCTGTGTAAACGATGAAGCAAAAAGCGGTGGCGATTACCAGACAGTAGCCTGGCGTATTCAGCAGAATGAGAGACATTATAGAGCAAGCGGAAAAAGGAGCATTGTTGGTTGATTTTGGGTGCTGGATAGTAAATAGGCTGTGTAGTCGGTGGACCGCATGAATAAGTGACTCTCACGAGGTTAGAATCGGTGTCTGCCAATCACAGCTGTGCGATGGGACTTGCTCTCTGGCCAACCCGAAATCAAAGCCAATCAGCTGACCGGACAGGAGAGTGGCTGGCTGTGCGTGTGTTGCAGGTGAACAGGTTGGGGGTGTAGGAGACCGCAGGGTCCCAACGGGTCATTGCTATCGTCTCACCCCCTATCGGTATCTTAAGCCGGAGCTTCAGGCCACAATCATCTATCACGATTATTTGGTGGTCTTGTTGGTCCAACACAACACATCGCAATTTAATTTAGATGCATTTGTATGTCAGTAACGCACAGGTTATAAAAAAAGCTTTACTGAATTGCATATAGTTTTGAAAGCGATTCGTTTTTTTTTTTGCCGTAAATGGGTTCACTATTAATAAAATTTGATGTTAAGACTGGGACATAAAGCAGTGATTGTGCTGAAGTAGAAGCGTTAGCTCTAAATTCCACGCACATGTCCACAAGATTGCGGTAAAAGTTGCTACTTGAGCGTTCATTTAAGTAGCCTCAGTCCTCAAGGGATTGGAATGGTAATTACTACCTACTCCGATAAGATGCACATAGCCAGTGACGGTCCAAATATGCGATAGAGCATTTTCGAAAACTTGTGTTATTCTTTACAGTAGCGCGTGTGTGGCACTTAAACTAACTACGTTTCAGCCTCATTGGTGAGGTCATTTAGCTAGGAATGGAGTCTCCAGGGGGAATATGACCTCAGGAAGCAAAGATGGCCTTAGAAATCCTCCTAGTAGTTAAGGCAGTTCTGTTCCTCATTTGTCATGAATGCCAACATCCGGTCGCAGGCGGTCACTTCGGAAAATGAGCCGAAGCTGACACTCCATAGTTCACCAGACGATCAAACGAATAAAAGGCGCAAGCAGGTGCCACACTATGAGTGTGGCATCTTGACAGCTACGAGGTGAGGCGCTTCGTGTAACGCACATTGGTTGCTTAAATTTTGCTTTGTGGGAAGGAGGCGCAAATTCGATTCAAAAATGGTGTGAAGGTGGAGTGCAGGAAGTTTCTATGCAATGTCCAGAAAATCCTTTACCAACCGTGTCCCTTCCCAGAAGACGGTGGTTGAGGACGCAGAAGGCGGGGAGAAAGATGTTACATTTAGCTTGGTTGGATTTGGAAACCAGCTGCCAAAGTTCCGTCAAAAAAGTAGATTTTATGTAACTTAATTTTGTGAATTTCCACCTTAAGCTCTCCAGACATACGCATTAATGTTATGGAATAGTTCCCTACACATTTTCTACTAAATAACTTCACTCTCATACTTTAACTTCGTCTTCCAGTTTCTATTATCAGTGCTTCCAGATAAGTTAAGCGGTGTTCTCTTTTAATGCAAATCATACATAAGCTGGGATATTCAAACTGAAACAATGCAATAATTACTATGACCTTGAGTTTAACTGTTTAAACGGACCTCTTAATAGTCCCTTAATCAACGGCTTAACGATGGACGGACTTTTAGCATTATGGTCAACATCTTCCGGCAAACATTGATCTTTCTGCCCTTGTTTGCTCTCCGTTCTGCCCTGGTAATTAAGGGTCTTTGAATCCAAAGTATCCCTAAAATTCCTTACACTTCTTTTACACCTTAAAAATGAAATTAACATGAAAGATGAGCCATAGTTCAGATTTTTCTGACTATGCTACCACCTTTGTTGTGGACCTAACTGAGTAACAAGACATAGTGCTGCGAACTTCGAAGGTACAGAAGAAGTGGTTTGATGGAAATAGGCTACGTCCAAAGTTACTTCTGCTGCCTGAAGTTTATTAGTAAAATCTTAAAGCATAAGGACCCTCAACTAGAATCTGGATTTTCCACAGGTATTCGTAGGTATTAAATGCAATCATTTTGCATTAAGTCATCGCAACTGCAGCTGTCTAGAGCTGATGTATATTTCCTCAATGGTTATCACACATGCCTCCAATTTTCTGCCACTTTTGAACCATAATTTAGGGCTCCTATTTTCTATATCAATTCTCTGTAGCGTCTGGACTAACATCGGCCTTTTCTATACTTTTGGAGTGTCGGGAAGTCCAGATACCATGTCGGTAGCAAAGGTCCACACAGTAGTATACACACTTAAAGTAAGTATCTTGGTGCCGTCAGCAAGTGCGTTTACGCATGGCTTTTAACCGGCATAAACGTTAATTCTTTAACATCATAGATACATGGACCATAATTTTAGTCCTCAAGCAGTGTTCCCATGGCAGGACTCCTTTCGAAAACAGTTTGTATTATCAACATTTTAAAGCGATAGTATGGAGGTTATCGACTTTTACTACACTCGAGTGTAAAGTTTTGTAATCGCATTCTAAAAATGTTTGGCTAATCGACAGCAATAATTAAACCAATGCCAGATAGAGGTGATACAACTTTGGAAACAAATAAAACGGCAAGTTGAGTTTTTTCTCTGCTGATTCCTCTTCGATCCGCGAGATGAGCCGCAAGAATGACCCTCACGTCTATACGTTAGCAGCTTCAAACCTCTCCACAAATGCTCAAAGTCCTGAGTTAGCCCTTTTTCCCGCTAATCAACTTGAGGTTATTATGACTAATGTCCTTGGGCATTGGAATTGCCCAGAATTTGTATTGCAGTATGCAGACTCACCAATTGAAGAAAGCGAAATTCTCATTAGTTCCCTCCGAGCGTCACCTCGCCACCTGTTTGGTTTAGGTTTCACATCGTAGTTGATGTCTCAAAGACCATCCCTAGGTCAGAGTTACCAGCCAGCACAGCCTTCCGCATACGAAAAGAAATTTGCTTTCAAACCTCAATAATGCATCTAGATGGTTTATCGAGACCCTTAATTCCATCGTGTTCGTGTTGAGGCAAATGAACAAAGCGTTCTATCTTCGTACTGCTTACTTACGTTAGCTGACTAAAAACATACTTATTTAATAACAGGTTGTGCGTAATTTTTAGCTCTTCACTCATCCGTTTACCCATCTGTTTATGTTCCTGTCGCCTACAAGAGGTAAGGTGGAGGCAGCACTTGTTCATATACCCGCTCTCGTCAGAGACGGTATTATAATTGATCTTTGTTAAGTAGTTTCAACTTAATGAAAGACTGCCTTTCTGTAGAAAAAGATGTTGGCTTACTACCAATAGTTGTGGTCATTTTTAGGGGAACATTCTCGTTCCTTGATGTCCTGGCCGAACATGAGGTTTAATGATCAGCCATGGAAATAAAAGTGGCTGTCTGGTTGGAAGCAATTCGCTTGCCGCTACCTCCAATATAACGGCTCGAATCTCTTCCACAGCCGCAATCAAGCCACAACCGAACGACAGAACTTAAATCATTGAGGGACATCAGAGTTCCCCAATTTCGCTCCAAGACTGCTTTATAGAACAAGAGTAGAATCGCTGGAGGCTAGTGGCTAAAGCATAGCAAATAAATTTCTGTACCACTTCCATCAAAAGGAAATATCGTCACTTATTTATGAATGAAATTATCACGACGAACCTCCGCAAACTGATCCAAATGTGCACACATCTTGTAACTGCGTTTACGTTTTGTTACAGCAACTTGAGAGGAGTTGAACCGGTAAAATAATCCAACCAACATTACACGCTCCATTTGAATTGGCAGTACTTTCGGAAACTTTACGATTTGGACAAACTGGCACCAACGCGTTGATAAGAGATGTGTATTTTTTTTCTCTCCTAACCCCATTCACCACGTGGGAGTAGATTCGAGGCCTTATTTTAATGTACTTATACCTCTGATGGTAAAATTCAGGATCGAACAAACAACGGCATAACAGCAAGAGGGAAGCCAGTATAGCGCTTGGGTACTTCTCTGATGTTAAAAGAATAAGGGAAGAGTAGAGAAGACAGTCACTATCATCCAAAGACCATGTCACTCAGCGCAACGAGGTAGACAGAAGTCTTAGTGACAATAAATACCAAATCAAAAAGTTAAGCTTGGAAAGAAGTACTGCAGTCTACATCTTTTGCCCGCCGTCCTCAGCAATTCACTTGGTCAATCTCGCTGTGGTGTGGTGAGGATCGAGTAAGATGACGCGTGACTGCAGGGCCACTGATCCCTCTTAGCAGTTCTACCGGATCCGCAGTTGCGTCCGCCATGGGAGCTGGAATTCGGGACGTGGGAGTGCTCTGGCCATTGCACATGTCCATTGCTAGTCGTAAGAACTCTGACCCTAAAATAGAGCCATATAAATGAAGAAGAGGATTTTAACTAACTCTGTGGATTTAGAGTTTTTTACCTCTAACTCGTTCCTGCTTAGATGTTGTTCACTCATACCTACCTGGGAGGTGGTGTCACGCGTCCATCTGCTTAATAACTGCTCGAAGGTGGCGTAGACAGGTCCATAACGAATGCTCTTAGATGGATCGCGGTGTTGGAGCAGACGTCCTTACTTGAAGGCTCGGCTTTCTTTTCTCTCCATCCGATTGGCCAAAAAGGGATGTCAGAAATGTTGAGGAATATTAATGGCATAGGTCAGATATCTTATTGTTCTGTGTCCACGTAAATAAAAGTCGGAGGTAAGCAAGTAATCAAGATGCTATGCACCACCCTTCTATTGTAAACGGGACTTCCCTCAACTCTACATCTCTTCCTAAGTGGGATGGCGATGAAACCGACCACATCGTTATTTAGTAATTAAAACATTTATCAGGATTTTGTATAAGCAATCGTTTTAATGCCATGATCCGATCTTTTTGGAGACCTCTCCACGCCAATACTGTTTATCGAATAGTTGAAGTATAGTTGTGGGACTGCATATGCAAATTTTTTCAAAATAAAGGAACTTTGCTGTCATATGACAAGGGATGGATTTAGTAGACACTGACTTGACTTTATTAGTGCTTCTTCTTATTGCTTCCGAAATTGCGATAGTACAAT